GTAGGGACGGTAAATATTGTTATAGCCTCCTCTTCGAAAACACATTGGCGAGATAATCAATTCGCTTTTAATCTCTTCCATACTTACCGTTAATGCTATCTTCTACTGTTCCGTCCCGTTCCCCCTACAACAGAAAAAATTGAGGACATGGCTGTTTTATAATCAGCACCAGAGTCATTGCGGTTAAAGGTGGATTGTTTAGGATTCTCTCAACCTCAATCAGATAGGTAACCAAGGCCTTATCAAACAAAAGCTGTTCCCCAGGGATCAGTAATATCATTCAGCGTTTAGACCAAATAATCCTTTCCCATACTCTATTCCTGTGGTTAAATGATGGCGGGATTGAAACGTCATTGGTTCAGCTTCGTTGCTTATCTTTTAATGATTCAATTGCTTCATAAATGTCCATAGCCCAGAAATTGTGCCGACAAAACTCTGTCTGTTATCAATGTACCTCCCTCTTCCTTATATAGAACGCAATAAATAATCAGTGTTTAGGCTGATTATGCAAAATATAAATACAAACTACCAAATGTCTCATCATCCAGTCATATACCATAGGGTATAAGAGTTACATATGTTCACTTCATATCATTCACTTTATCCATGAACATATGAAGATAATTAGCGATATCGACTCGTTATTTAAAAACCTCTGCGTGAATGTCAACTATTTAAACGAATTAAAGCAAAGCTTGAGACAAAATCGAGTGCTGTTGGAGACAATAATTTCTATTGTTCCTCTGACAACCAGTGACTTGATTTCACAATTATACCCTGTACAATCACTTTTATTTACTAGGAGGCTGGTGTGTTATCCGCTGTAAATGCCTGTGACATTTAGATTTCAACACACTCAAATCGATTACAATTTACAAAGTCACATTGGAAATTTTATATGATACCACAGACATTCGACCATAATTCGCTTGCTTTTCAGGTGATCTTTACTCCACTTTTTATGATAGGTTGAAGCACTGAAAACATTTATATTTATATCAACTGACATAACTCTCTCCCTTCATTCTAACACAGATTGGCGTATACCATGACGACATATGACAGGTTAGCATTGTAGTCACACATCAAGACAACTTGATGAAGTCCCGCCGATGATCGTCACTAATGCCAAAAATCTGATGCAAACAAATTGTAGTATCTCTAGGTCTACAATACCTAACCGCCAGGTCGACTTCGGGAAAAAATATATCTTTGATGTTTAAGGTTCGGAAAATTGACACAGTTTATTAACTAAACATGAAGTTTTTGTGGATGATAAAAGTATTCTTATGGATAAGTCGATTTGACTTTCAGTAATACTCATGTAAATATCTTGTCCAATGGAAAATTCCACTACTCGTATCAGTAGATTTCGAGGAACTGTGGTATGAAAGATCATTTTGAGCCTTAGAAGATGTGAGTATTGTCTACCTTCATTCGTATACCATGGATTGGCTTGTATAAAGTGTCATTCTACAATCTTTTTTGGCTATTATTTACCCTAAAAAGGCGGCTTAGATGAAGTCACGAAGCGTAAAAGTATAATTTTTCCACTCGTTAGGATATAACAAAAATATATTGTTGTGCTCATTCAATAGTTGTATCGAAGATATGTCAATCATTGTCATGCGTTTAGCTGTAATATTGTTTACAGTGTCAAAAGCATGATAACTGTAGACTAGAATGTGGCGCTAAATTGCTTACAAGATTGACGAGCAAATATAAAACATCAGAAGTTTTAGTAGTCGATCCCTGTGATACACGTCAAAGAAAACCTGACCAAGACGTGATAATATGAAAAAAATAATGATAAGCCAAAAGTGATTAGAAGAATTCAAATATAAAAACAACAAACTTAATTCCAAGAACAAAGTTATGCATATTAAACGAAAAAATAATGGTGACTTTTATGTAGTGAATATTATTTCAAAGTAACTTTTTAAGTAACCGAACAAATGGAGTTCACTTAATCATTGAATATTCTGCTATGAGTCCGACCTGATTTCATGAAGAGATCATACAAGTAAAATAGCGCAAACATATCATGGTTCTAGTGCTCGACGAACCTGTTGCTCACAATGCTTTTCTAGTTGAGGACTCCAAAGTCAGTTAAACCAGAATTAAGGAACGAATAGGTCCGAAGATCTGAATAAATCTATGCGACACTATATGTTTACTGACTGTCTAAGAAATCCACTGTATAATTCCTATTGTGCTTCGAAAATTTTCCGGCATTCAACAAACTGGCTAACCACTTTGTAACGTAATATGTTCAACAGTAAAAATGCATTAAATTTTGCCCAAGACATTTGTCATCCAAACAGTTGTAGCTAGACTGTTTTTATTTATATATGGACACAAAACAAACATATGGTGACATTGAAACATCGTTGTGTTAGACCTGCATGTTTTTCCCTGTCGACGATGGGATGGAATGACATAACTGCAATAAGTGGTATCACAATGTGTGCACCAGGCTCACACCGGCTGCATTTAAACGGTACTACAAGCCACTATCACGTTGACCGTGCAAAGAATGTTGTTTTTCAAAGTCTCTGCTGGTTCTAGAGGCATTTGAGCTGCTGAACATAGCTAGAAAATTGCCCCCTGATAAACAGGCAGCATGAGATGAACAGAATTTCGCTTTCGAGAAAATTGAGAGCGTTATCATGAGCCCAGCCCTAGATTTAAACGAGACCATAAAGGTCATATTATTCAAATTCATGGCTGACATTGCCTGTCGAACAGTTGCGCCGGCCCGTCCTAACATATGGAAGGCAGATATGGAGGCCATCAACTCCTCAGCATCGGCTGAAAGCTGGTGAACTGACTCAAAGGCATCAGTACAAGAGGCATAAGCTCGTTTCAGGCAGTTACACAATCGGGTAACTCAACCATACATAACCTGGACAGTCCCATAGAAGAAGTACGGCCATTCCTGGATAGGCCGGGTTATTTGACGTTTACTAAGTCAAAAGAAGAAATTTTGGAATTTTGCCATCAGCCTTGGCACAACAGATCTGTAAGAAAAACGTGTATAATGAAAATTCAGGAAGCTCCAAGAAAATATGAAATGAATTTGGCACAACCTGCGCTAAAGCAGCTTAAGAGAATATTCCTGTACATAAACAACGGGATAAGGATGCATCATCGGATTCCCAACCTAATTAAATAAGGGAGTGAATTTGAAGTGATAGAGGGAGATCAAGATAAATCAGAGTCTATGATTAACTATTTTGGGGCGGTTTTCACTCAGGAACCTCTTCTAGACAAAGAAACAGACCCAAATACAGAGTCAACAAACCACCTGTTCACTGTGGACTTTGATCAGGACGATGTACTTAAGGCATGGAAAAGTCAACAGGACCATATGAACTACACCCCAAAATCTTGAGACATATTGCACAATATATCGCGGCCCAACTGACTGTGATATTCAATATGTCACTTAACGAAGGTGTGTAACCTATGAACTGGAAGGACGCAATCATCACTCCCATACATAAAACAGGACCAAGACAACTTTCATCAAACGACAGACCTGTAAGCCTCACCAGTGTTATAGTTAAAATATTGGAAAGAATAGTCAAACGGACCATAATGGCATTTATGGAAACCAATAACTTGATAAACATAGAACAACATGGTTTTAGAAAGAATCTGTCTTGTAAGACGAACCTCCTTATGGCAAGGGAATTTTGGATAGAGGCACTAGACAAAGGAAACTCAGTGTATATTATCTACATAGATTTCAGTAAGGCTTTTGACAAGGTGCCAACTAATAGTCTGCTATTGAATTTGGAAAACCTTGGCATTATCGGACCTCGTTTAAAATGGCTTAGGGATTTCCTAGTAGGTCGTAGTGAGAAGGTACGTATAAATTCATAGTGCCCCACCTCGAGACCAGTAGGTAGTGGAGTACCTCAATGTTCTGTCCTAGAACCTTTACTTTTTATACTGTATGTAAATGATTTCACAAGTATAGTACAGTCTCAAATGTTGTTACACGCTGACGATGTAAGAATCTGAGGAGTAATAAGGGGAGACGCAGATGCATGTGCACTTCAGGCAGACATAAATAATGTGATTAACTGATCTAAAGGGTGGCTTATGCCTACCAATTCAGCAAAGTTTGTGTACATGCACTTTGGAGATACAAACGTTAATAGGTACAGCATAGCGGAAGTGCCTGTACCCGTGGTCTGGTCTCTTAAAGGATCCTGGGGTGACAGCGAGTCATGATCTAAAGATGATAGCCGATTGTCGCTGGGTCGCAGCTATGGGGTTTAGAATCCTCTGGGCTTGAAAACGGACATTCACAAAGTTAGGTACCACCATGTTCACTACAGTTGACACAACTTTAGTGAGAACTAAAATTGAGAACCGCGTTCAGGCTGCGAGCCCCTGTTTAAAAGGTGACTCGGATGTCCTGGAAAAAGTGCAGAAAGCAGCTGCCAGCGCTATCCCAGGACTCCGGGGTTTATCATACAAAGAGCGGATTGAAAAGCTGGACCTCTTTGCTCCGTCCTATAGAAGACTAAGTAAAGATCTAACTTTGATGTACAGCATACAAAGAAATTATTTTGGACCGAACATATTCTCTCTTTTTCTTCCCACCAGATCGGGATATCTCAGAGGACATAGTAGGCGAGCAGAAAAGCCAAGAACGAAAAAAAATACCCTTGGCATACGTGTTTTCACACCGATTCATCAGTACTTGCACCTTCAAATGAATCAATGAAGAGAAGACTGGATACTCACAGAAGCATATTAGGAAAGGAATAACATTGGCCATAGGCTTTCTGTTCTTACTATACAAATCTGAATATGAACGATGAATCTGATAGTTAATGATTACTGACACCAAATGACTAGAACCATGTCTTGAAATCAAGGGTTAAGATAGAAATAGCTGATTGGTTTACGCTTGCGCATTGCAGGTACATTGAATACGGAATTGTTTAACCAAATCACACAGTCGATTAAAATTACTCGGTGGTAATACAAATAGCATGGAAAGTGTGTTAAATGAACTTCGGGAGTTAGGTGAGCAATTTGCAACTCATGTCCGGCGTGTGAAGCTTCTAAAAAATGAGGAAGATGTTATTTCACTTAAAAACGCGATATCCAGCCTAGAGAATGATCTTAAGCAACTCCGAATGTCTTATGAATGCCAGATAAATCACTTGAGTACTACTCTAAATATTGTACTGGACGAAAAAAGAGACCTGGAGAATGAAATTCTAGTAAGGAAAGAAAATGACGCTCATTTTCTGGATAGGTTCAGTTTTTTACGATTGGTATGTATTTTGCAGGATTTCAGTGGAATCGTCTAAAAATGCTAAACTTCTTCTGGAGATAAGTCATCTTAAAACTGACGTTGCCGAAAAAACTAATCAGATCACAGCGCTAAAAATGCATGTACAAGAGTTGGAGACACATGGGGAAGAGAAAGAGAATATGAAGTTGAAACTTACTGAGGAGATAAATTTTCTAAAGCAAAAGTACTATTATTTAATATTTATGTAGAATTAAAGACTTTCAATGTCTGAGGATCTATACACTGAAACTGCTAACCAGCTTCAAAGCGCATTGATGGCATTAAATTCCCAAAAACTGTTTGCGAAGGAGGTGAGTTATCTCCCGTTTGTTGTATTCTCCGATTTTCCAGTTTTGTATTTTTTTCTAAAACCAAATATTCCTGTTTTGTAGCGTCTTAGTCGCAGTCAAAACAGAATACAATGGTATATCTCTCAGTTCGCCGCAAAAGATTTCCAAGTTGAGGAATCTCGCAGAAAGGAAGCTTCCATTACTACTGCCATCTCTCAACTGCGTGCCAAAGCCCAGGAGGAACTTATTCAGTACCGTCAGCAAGCTGCAGACATCTACAAAAAACCAGTAGGCTTTAGTTGATATTTTTATACCCTAGATTGACTCTTACTTTTACATAACTTTTAAAATAACTTGCCTGTTGCCTTTCTAGATAGCTACTTTGCAAAGTCAGTTGGTTTCGGAGAGAAGAGAAAATCGATTTTTGAAGTCTAAGTGTCTGAAGAATGATCAAACGATTCTTAACTTGCAGCGACAAATCGCTGAATTGAATTCTAAAGTTTGTTGTTCAAAATACCTTTAATTTCTTAGGTTTACAGCACTGAACATCAAACTGAACTTTTGAAGAATGCTTTGGAAAGTTTGGGGAAGGAGCATAATCGCTTAAGAAGTAATTATGAGAATAAGATTCAGAGACTAGAGGCTTCTATAACTTCTAGTGCCGTTGACTTTGATTTGATGCGAAGTAAAGAGAATGAAGTTATGAAGGAATTATCAAAATTTAAAAGCATGTTGAATTTAGACGAAGAGAGTCTTCACACACGGATATATAACGAACAAATTAATCAAGTTATTGGGGAAGTGGATGATGAAGAGAATTTTCAGCGTTTGGAAAATGACAAAAAGTGAGATATTTGTGTTAAACGTGGTGTTCTTCCATATTATGATACCTCAATACGGAAGTTGTTTTACCCAAGTAAATAAAGGAAACGTTTAGTGTTCTGTTTCGTTTTAAAGAAATTACTTAGTGTATTATTAATTAGTAGCCCTGTTTTTATGATTTGATAGATTTGTTAATTCGAGATCTTAAACATTAGTAATATATTTGAACTTTTATGTTTTAGGGGACTGTAGACCCAATAAATAATTACTGTATCTAATTGACTCTCAACAAGTAGATCATAGTTATGAAACACGTTTTTTATATTAATGTCATGAAAGACAGTTAGGAATAATCCTCAAGTTTTGGGGTGAATTCATTTGTTCTCTTCGGATAGAAACTCAGTCGGCCCTATCATAATTGGAGTAAAATACGAACATTAAACTACATGCAGTAAAAAAATGGGTGCTCTAATTGTTTGCGCATCTTACTCCTGCGTTTGATCTTCAGTCACTTTATGTAGACATCTGGGAATATATGTGTCTCGAATGGAATTGTTTATCGTCTTAAGGTCTTTTTTTCAAACTTAAATTTAGCTAAATCATTTGGTTTTATTGATGAAATATGTCATTAGTATTCTCAGTCTTCAAAAACACTACAATACAAGAAACTTGAGTTTGAAAAAATTACGTTAGAGATTTTGCTGTTTAGTATTAATCTCAATTAATTCAAGTAGATTAAAAAGCTTCTGTTTTTCAGAATCGAATTTGACAGAACCTATGAACCGAAAGCTATCTCACACACGGATTGTGTTGTTCCATCAAAAGGTATTCATTCTTCTGTGATGGCATCAAATGATGACCTCTGCGACACTCCTCAGAACATTGATGTTGAGTTACAAAACTGTGATCAAGTAAACTTTGACATGAAGAAGTTTGGTCTAAGTTCTTCCAAAAATGCAATCATGGATACAAAAATCAATGGCTCAGTACCTGGTAGTCCAAATTCATCGATGTGTTTATCAGGATCCAAGTAAGAGTTTTTATTTTAGATACTCATTCACAAACAATTAATATTTGGATACAAAGATGGATGATGGCTAGCAGTGGAATCCAGGAAGTGCGTTTCAGTTGCAGTCCTAAACATCAATGGAACGATTCAAACAACCAATGTAAAAATGAATTAAACTTTACCCCACCGCACAAGCCAGCGGCTTTCTGGACTCACTAGCTAAGTGGAAAACGCGGTAGTGTTTAGAGCGAACGGTGAACACCAACTCTGAGATGTGAGTGGTTTCAGCTGACGAATCCCAAATAGGACGAAATGCGCGCCCTAGATTCCACTACTAGTGAACATCTGTATTTGCTTATAATGCTTACGACTTAAGGCAATGTCGAATCGTATGCACAAGATGCACATGTACCAATAAGAGACTGATCCATTGCAGTTCTGAACATCAATGGGAGGACGAATTACTGTTTGGATAGTTGATGGACGATTTGTTTTTCAAACTCTAACTATCATTATCGCATAATTTGCAAATTAACGTTGTCTTTATTCGTAATTAATATAATTTTCGAATCTAAACAATTTGTTTTACAGTTTTATCTTTTCAGAATTTGAAATATAGTTTTCAGCGTAAGAGCTAGTTTTAAGCGATTAGTCCTTTTTTAAAGTTTTGATTAAATAAAGAGAAGACGTAGTTTATTTGAAAAATGTGATATATTCAAGCTATAAATTTCAAACAATCTGTTGATACATATATGTTTTAAGTCATTTTGTATGGAAATTAGTCAACGTTAAGCAAAAGTTCAAATGAAAAAGTAATAACTAAAAAAAGGGACGAGAAAATCAACTGCCTAGTCATGATGATGATGTTGAAATGTTACCAGTAAATTTTAAGTCGAGATTAAATCTGATACCGCCTTGAATGTACCTTATTGTTAAAAGTGGAAGATCATAGTGTTTTAGCAATATTTACAAGACAATTCATATATTTAAATATTCAGATCATTGAAAAGTTTGATACTGACTATTAAGAACCTTCACAAATCTTTAAGGTCATTTTCAAGGTATTTTGTGTTACACTTCTGAATTACACTAGTTAACTATCAGAAATATAATGGAGAATAATTATAAGCTAAGTTTTTGATTTTTTAGTAGTTGTGATTATGAATCAGTTGAAGATAGACCACCATGAAAAATCTGGAAGCACTAGACGGCCGTTTCATTCTACTGTGGAACTCGTCAACAGTGCGCATCGAACCCAGGGCCTATCGGTCTCACGTGTGAACGCCTAACCTCTAAACCACTGAACAAACTGGCATCCAACGGTGTCAATGTCTAACTTTAAGTAATCCACGGAATTGAGCCACTGTCCACGATTGTTTTTAGTGAGTTACTATCTCACAACAGACCCGTTTGAACTTCACTGATTGCTGCTTCTTTTTCTTGTTATCATAGTTACACCTGTTGAAAACTGTGAATTAAAATAAATTTCATATAAGGATAAAAATAACTTTGTCAATGAAGGTAGACAAATTTAATATGATAACTAAACTTGAAGCATTATGTGAAACAAAACAAACAATCAATTAACGTAATACATGAACTTTTACATCAAACTACATTTTTAACAGTTGAATTCATGAGCCAATCTAAACTACATTATTGAAAACCTGTAAGCACTGGACATCTATTTCGTTCTAGTATAGGACTCCTCAGTAGTACGCATTCAGGATCATGCACATGCGAATGCTTCACCTCTAAACCCCTGAATCGATATCCAATAATGTTAACGTCTAACTTCAACCAATTCATGACCTGAATTTTGTCATTATGTTAAAGTTCTTCATAGAAAATTTATTCCAACTTCTTGACTCGGGTTGAATGAATGAAGATATTAATAAATTCAAATTGATACATACATAAGACCTCTATGAGAATTGTTATCACTCTTATTATGATGCTTAAAGTATAACAGCTTAAGTGAGATGTTCTTCCTGTAGTGACTTAATATATCTGTATTCCTATTTCATTTTGTTCTTTTTTTTGTTATTACAATTTTCTCAACAAAAAAAACAAACAAACAAACAGTAAAGGTAATTAGCACTTTTCTGTTCTTTAACAAAACAAAAAAACTATTCGTTACTTATCGAATAGTAATCCATATTGATTATTAGTTCATTTAGATTGAATTATTTTTGTTAACTAAGGACAAATTTTCTTTTATGTATTGTTAACAAAGTATATTAAATCTTCCCTCTTGTAATTGACATGGTAGCAATTGTGAATGAAGCTATTTCAGTTCACTAATCACGTGAATAAACAAATATTAATCTAATTATTTTATATTTGTTAACCATTATCATATTTTCAAGTGTCTTATTGATCTTTCTACCAAATTTAAAGTTTTTCTTAAAAAATTGAAATTAATAACATAGCCCCCTGAATGTCCTGGTATGGTCGAAGGTAGAGAAAGTCAACTCTTCCTCTCTAAATGATCTCACATGGTTATGTGTATATGGTCTTAGTCTTCTAGCGGCAGCGTTGTTGTTAACAAAATTATGAGAATGAAAAGTAAATGTTTGGTGCTTTATCCGGGTTGGTGGATATGAAAGAACCATCTGGGGGAGCTGGAAAACCCTGATTCCAAAGCAATGGTGCACATGGACCCCAGAATCCTGAGGGAAAAATGGCTTATAAATCCATTGTTGGCCACTGGCTACCATACGACTGTATCTTCTCACGTTGCTCCACCACCATGTGGATCAGACCTTTTGTTCAAAAGCTTCGAGTGTACCCTCCTAAGAAAACCAACTGTTTCGCTTTGGGCACCCGGGCAGTATCCCAGCCCTCACACATGTCGAATGATTTATGTGACGCATATCTGTTTGGTGCCTCCTCGTACGAATGTTTATGTGTTTAAATAAATAATAATAAGTACCTCATTAACACAATAACATGAACACCAAATTCATAGTTGTTACTTCAACGGCGGCAATACATAAAAGAAAGATTGTTTATAAGAATATAATACAGAAAGAAAGAATTAGTTCGTAGAAATATATGAAGCGATTTTAATCTCAGGGTTTAAGAGAAGACAGAGACTGTATACACCTACGCCATTGTGACCGATTCTGAGCCATGTCACACAGAGTCTCAAAACAAGTAGTCTGCATCTACCGAAATGGCTCACACCAGAAATTAGTGACTTTATGGACGCTTTGTTTTGATTGCGCCTAACTTTCTTTCAACCGTCTCCAACAGTAGTCAGCATTGCGTGTCGTGGTAATCGGTGTTCAGGCATACGTAACACTTGACCCAACCATCTTAGTCGGTGAAGATTCACAAGCTTATCGACTGATTTACCATCAATCCCTAATATCCTGTGTCTAAGCTCACTATTACTTACTCGGTGATCCCAGTAGATACGAGCAATATTTCTGTTTGTTTGTTTAAAACACATAAACATTGGTACAAGGAAGCATCAAATAGATATGCGCCACACAAATTGTTTGATTCATTTGAGTGCTGGGATACTGTCCGGGTACCCAGACTGAATCAGGTAGCAATATTTGTAAGACATTTTTGATCAAATACCGGTATCTTATGAGTATCTTTTACTCTTAATGGCCACATTTCGCAGCCGTAAATTAGAACAAAACGAACTGTTGCACAATATACTCGTCCCTTAATTGATAAGTGAATATCTCGCCTTCGCCATAGGTGACATAATTTGGCAAAAGCCCAAACGAGTTTTCTGAATCCGTGCAGAGATTTCTTAAAGTCAAAATAGCTTTTAAAGTATGAACCTAAAGATAGTTTGTATTACAACATAGAATTATTTCCCGACATCTTTGAAATGTAAAAAAAAACGATTGATAAGTTCTTCATGTTATTTAAATATCAAAAAAGAAAAAAACTTTATCAGAAGGGATTTTGTGGAGATTTTGGTATTTTTATAGTTGAATTCATGAGTCAATTGAAGCTACACCACCATGAAAAACGCCACAAAACCCCTTCTGATATTATTTAACATATGCTGACTAATGACTGGCTTCAAGAGGTATTTCCCGGAGTTATAGTGAGAAACAGTGACCAGTAAAGTACAAGCGGGTCTGTTGTGAAATAGTAACTCACTGAACACAATGATGGACGGTGGCTCAAATTCGTGAATTGGTTGAAGTTAAACATTATGACGATTGGATGCCGGCTCAGTGATCTAGAGGTTAAGCGTTCGCGTGCGAGACCAACAGGCCCTGGATTCATATCCAACGGGGCAACATCGTGGATGCACACTGCTGAGGAGTCCCACAATAGAATGAAACGCCCGTCTAGTGCTTCCAGGTTTTTCATGTTGGTCTAGCTTTAATTGACTCAAGAATTCAACCATAAAATAAACTAATTAATAAAATTCTTTTTTTTGTTTTTTACATAAAGTGCTATTGGATACTTACAAATTTGTGAAATTGATCCCAATGGTGAGTATTTACTTCTATGGAATTCAAGTACAAACAAGGTAAATTTATTCAACAAATATCATATAATGAGAAAGAACTTAATTAATTGGAATATGAGTTATATACAAGATTAATTTTTTTCTAAGTATTCATGACAGTTAGTCAGACTTTGGGGGGGGAGATTTATTTCGTAATTTAGTTACTTAATTATATCTATTGTTCATAATCGTTTAATGTACTGATATTGTAAATTTGGTTTATATGGTGAGTAAATCATTAATGAGTATCCGTGAGTCGACCCAAGCTAGACCATTGAAAACCTATAAGCACCGGACGTCTATTTCGTCCTAGTAGGGAACTTCTCAACAATATGCATCCACAATCCCGCACGCGGAACTCGAGTTTGAATTGACTCATGAATTCAATCTCAAGAAATCCCCATTCTGATCATTATTACTTTATCTAAAAACTTATTGTTAATCTGTGTAAATAAATCACTCAAAATTTAGTTTATTGGGACATTATTTTGGTTTATTTTTGATGCATAATAAGTCCATACCCATCGTCTTCATGTTTTAAATAGCATTTTGCGATTCACAATTTCCAGTAACAAGTACCAGCTCTCAACCGCTATCACACAGAACAATATGATGTATCGGCTAAGTTAATGGGTCACAACTAAGAATTAGAACTAAATGGTATTTTTTAGTTTGGAAATTCAAAAGATACACTGATGTTGATGTATTCATTCCTCTCATTACTATCTGATCAAAACATAAAGCTAGGTTTCATTGCAAAGAAATATTAAAAACCAGAAGGTATTGGAGACCTTTCTGACCCTAGTTTTGGAGGGCTTTTACATAAGCCATCACTTATAAAGAATATGTCTATATTGAACAGTATTATCGAGGTTACTTTAATGTATGGGTGGTATTTGTCGTAAATTGGCATCAATTCGAGTACCAATAATTTACAATGAACACCAGGCAGGCATTTCATCTCAAGTTGGATCAACTGTAAGCAGCCATGATCCCGTCGAGGACCGAATCTAAGACGTTCAGGTCTTTCAGCTTGCGCATTAAGTTAGTACGTATTTCTAACAGCAACCAGCTTATGATAAAGAGCAGAGATAATCCAATCCTACCATTGATGACTGTCTCACTGTTAATATAACTTCAAGATGAGTTCCTAAAATTATTTTGGGAAATCATAACCAGAAGAGTTCAACCATATGAAGAAAAAGACTGTTATTTCTAATTATATTAGGTTGTTTATTTGTCATTCTCATGAATTATTTGAAGTTGAAAATGTATGCAGTAGAATTAAAAGTCAATGTTTCAAAGACAACACTTACTGCGCTACATAAAATTCCTGGTCTCCATCCCTGAGAATTGCTATAGTCTTTCGCTGTTGATGAGTCACTTAGTTGAGTTACTAAATTTCCTAACCTTATTGATCGTACATACCTAGTACATATTAGCTAATCATTCAAACATTCGTATAATACTCAAGAAGATTATTGCCATTAAAAACACAACTTGAATAGGTCGGTTACTTTATATTGGTACACATCGAGTACGTGGTGGAACGAAATTACAAATTGAGTTCAAGCCAATAGAGATTATGTAATAACAGTTGTTTAGTATACTTTGCCTCTGCATCAGTAAGCCTCAATATACACAAAGGAAAAACCAAGATCCTCAAATACAACACTGTGAACACTAACCTAATCACACTTAATGGCGAAACTCTGGAAGATGTGGAAACCTTCACATACCTGGGAAGCATCATTGATGAACAAGGAGGATCGACTGCAGACGTAAAGGCGATGATTGGGGAAGCAAAGATAACATTCCTACAATTGAAGGACATATGGAATTCAAAACAACTTTCAACCAATATCAAAGTCAAAATCTTCAATGCGAACGTCAAGACAGTTTTACTGTACGGAGCTGAAACTTGGAGAACTACCACAACCATCATCAAGGAGGTACAAGTATTTATAAATAATTGTCTACGCAAGATACTCAATATTCATTGACCGGACACCATCAGCAACAGCCTTCTCTGGGGGAGAACAAATCCGCTTCCATCTGTAGAGGAAATTAGGAAAAGACGATGGAAGTGGATAAAACATACTTTACGGAAATCATGAAACTGCATCACGAGACAAGCCCTAACTTGGAATCCTGAAGGGAAGAGGAAAAGAGAAAGTCCAAAGAACACATTACGTCGGGAAGTAGAATCAGATATGGAAATGATGAGTAACATAACTGGAAAGAGCTGTAAAGGATTGCTTAGGACAGGGTTGGATGGAGAGTGCTGGTGTGTGGCGTATCAGCATCAAATCCTACTTTTAAAAATACTCTATAGTTCTCCTTGGTTTTAAGTGATTGTCTAGTTCGAGTCAGTCCGTGATGTTAACTTAAAAATTCAACAATCTCAACAAAACATTTAATGTTGAAAATAATGATGATATTGTAGTGTGGCTTCGAGTCGCGGTTGACTATGTTCACTACTACAGGAAGACTACGTGCCAGTTAACTGATAAGATCCCTCGCAGGCCAAATATCAGAAAGCAGTTGATGGCTGTAGTCGAGATGTATTTGTTGGCAATCTCGTGGTATTAAAAGAATACTGAGATCGTGCCAGTCTACAAGTGTGGTTACTGAGAGTAACCGAATTCGTGCAAGGTCACAATCAACGGAAGAATGTATGTATTTTTGTACATTTAAGCAAACAAGTACGGTAAAACAATCCCCGGTACAATTGGTTATAATAATACTTGTTTCCATTACACCAATCGCGTTGTATTGATAAAATTAGGTCACTATAATATAATTGTTAGTGACTAATTTCGAGGAGTAATTCCTGGAGGTTTAGTAGAAATCTGTAACCACTGGGAGCAATTGATCACCGATGTTATTAAATAGTGGTTGCATAAATTACAGATTGACTTAAATTAGAAATGTCAGTCATCTGATGGTTAAGCGCTTTCTGTATCTTGTATTTTGACTTTACAAAAGAAACATTTCATGTGTCGTTATGTAAATGATCCATCTTCGTCAATTGATATTTATTTAAACTTTAGCTCCAAATCGTTTTGATCGTACTTTGTTTACAAAAACGATTACTTAATTTGGTCTGCTCTATACTACATTAACGGTGAACTCAACTGTGATCATTTATTTCCTTTCAGGAAATAGATAACTTTTCCTCCATTTGGTTAGCTAAAATTGACCTAATTTGCATATAATATGAATTTGTCTACTTCGAAATGCAACATAGTAGCAGGTTGAAGTAATACATAGATGAAGAGTTCGAAACACGACATTTTATTCCATCAAGTCATAAGCTCTTGGTTTAAGCTATGTTAATATGTGCAGTCCTTCTGATTGGGGCTGAAGTAATACTTATTATCAGTGACCGGATATGTCGTATGACATGGTGGGAAATTTGTTGCAGTGATACATTTTCATTCATTTTCTATCCTCCTTTAAATGTTAATTTGTACACCATTGTTGTTCTTTTAATTTTTAACTCCATTGGTTTCATTCTGACTGTTTTCCTCATGTTCAGATTTTCACCCCGGTTGAAATCAATTCTTATTCTTTGATTCTAGTTTTGATAATTCCCTTCCTCTCTGTAGTTATGTGTGGTCAATTAGTAATATGTAGTCTACATTTATTAAAAACAGACGATAAGTTCAATGGTCAATGGACCGCCTTCACGTCCATGTTTAGGTATTTCTGCTTTGTTCCAATCTATACTGAACAACATCGCCAGTTGAAGTAAGAGATGGTTGGCAATACATAGTACATGTCACAACCAACTCAGATGATAGAGGTTCACTAGCTTATCAATGGACTTACAATATTTACATTGTGTCAATTTCTAACTTCAACATTACTCACTCCGTAGTCTAAAACTACACGAGCTGAGCTTCGAATACATCTATGATCAAATACTGATAACTTGCGAATATCATCAATTCTTAATGGTCATGTTTCATACAGAACAAACTACTGCACAATAAACTCGTTCCTTGATTAGTAGACAGATATCTCACCGATGCTACAAATAATCCAAACCAGCAAAGATTAATCGAACTTTCGGAATCTGTGTTGAGACTTTGTAAGACCCCAGCCTATCAAGACGAATGAGACTCAAGATAAGTGGAGCGGTTGACGCAGTCCAGTTTCATTCCTCATTATTAACTCAAGTGCTGATGAATACGGTTTCTAAAGCAATATTTTACATTCGGAGGAAAAGATTTACACTCCAAAAATGCCTGTGTCGTTTAGAAGACTACGCAAATTGTCAGAGTCTTCACCAAAATTGAGCTATTCTAAGACAACACATGAGTCTTATGCTAGGGAATGAACACCTAAATAGTCAGAAAATAAGTGGGTTATCTGTAAAACATTGTCTATGACGAAGTGTAAACATTAACATATAAGTACTTACATCAGGTTGTACATTAATGAAATGACTAGCTAATTGATTATTTTTAAATATTTGCCTATCAACTACAATCAAACAATGTATGTTCATTGATTAGTAACATTTTATTGATTTTGTATTCCCTTTTTACCATAGTTGATCTGATTACACTTGATCATTTGTCTAATGGTTTATTGGTAAAGGTTCCCAAGTCGATGTATTCTACAAGTTTATCATAATTAAATACTTCAATATAATCTGATTATAATGGTTGGAATCATGAGTCAATTGAAGCTAGACCACTATGGAAAACCTGGAAGCACTGGACGGCCGTTTTGTTCTAGTATGGAGCTCCTCAGCAGTGCACATCCACGATCCCACCCCACGAGATTCGAACCCAGGGCCTGTCAGGCTCTCGCACGAGCGCTGCTGCGGAGTCCCATACTAGGACGGAATGGCTGTCCAGTGCCTCCAGGTTTTCCATGGTGGTCTAGCTTTAATGGACTCATGATCTTAACCATTAAAATGACTAAAATCTCCTTAAAACCCCTTCTGATATTCTGATTAGTAACCAAATCCCTATTTACTTGTTAATTTATTTATTTATTTATACCTAAAGGAAATTGATATTGGATTACATAAAGTTTGTCAAAAACATATTCAAGAGAAAATCAATGAATATACATTTCCAGCTGATGTTCGAATGTCACCACGAACTGTATTTACTTTATGGTCGAATAATGCAATTATACCAAAGAATATTCATAATACAAAAAATGTATTCCGATGTCCAAATATTTGTAAATGGTTCAATGGTCCAAATTATATAACTATGGTATCAAATTCTCGTGATGAGGTATTTATTGTTGTTTCGTATTTCAACACTTTATTTTTGTTTTTAACGTTTACTGCTATCTAAACTATACTTTCCTCCTCAATTGTTAATTATCAGTATAGGGGTTGTGGAGATTATTAAATTTTTTGATTGAGATCATGAACCGATTGGTGTTAGACCACCGTTGGAAACTTGGAAGCACTGGACTGCCGTTTCGTCCTATTGTGTGACTCTTCAGTAGTGCGCGTCCACGATCCCGCTCGTGGCATTCGAACCCAGGGCCTTCAGTCTCGCGCGCGAACGCTTGACCTATTGAACTACTGAGCCGGCATCCAATTGTGTTAGTGTCTTACATCAACCAATCCACGAAATTGTGCGACCATCTTCCATTGTACTGAGGTAGATATCTGTCTCTACCCGACACGGATTAGCTACACTGGTCACGGCTTCTCACTAGAACTCCGAGAATTCCCTCAAGAAGCTAGTCACTAGTGAGCACATCTTTCAACGTTGCTTCGCTACCTTGTAGATTAGATCTCTAGATGAAAGGCTTCGAGTGTGTCTCCCTAGGAAAACCGCTTGCTTCTGTTTAAGTGCCCGATCAGTGTTCCAGCCGTCACGCAGATCGGATGGTGAAGTGTAGTGCATATATATTTGGTGCCTCCTTGTACCTATGTTTATGTGTTCAAATAAATAAATAAACTTCGTTATAATCTAGTCTGTTCATCCCTACTAGTAGCATTAAAACCTCTAGTGATCATTTTGAAGAACCTGCAATTTGTTGGGGGAATATAAGACACTGTTCCAAGAATGATATTATTTACATAAAATATGGTTTATAAACAGATTGAGTGCAATACGTACGTCCTTTCAGTTAGTTTCTCAGTGTAATTTAATACTTGTATTTAGGTTTCATAAATGTATCATGAAATGCCAGTTTTACTGAATTCTTCAGGATCGATCATTATACGGAAAATATTTTACATCAAGGATTAATATCTGTTGGAGAACCAGTCAAATTCAGTGTATACTGATCGACTATTTTGTCTGATGTCATGATCAGCCAGTTGTAGTCAATTTAGATTCTGGTATGTGTTTATTGGTTCAAGTTGCTCCATAAAATCAGCAAAGAGAGATGAAATTCACAAGATAAATGCTTAGATATTATTGATAGCAAACAACATAAGGGATGCAAAGTACATTTGAGAAGAATGAATGAGTTTGATAAAGAAGCAGTGTACAGTAATTTTCAACTTAGGGTCTAAAGAAAGACAAAATTAAATACTTATGCAACACTATGACTGATTCTGAGCCATATCACTCACTGTTCTCAGCCAGTCGTTACGACAATTGCTCAGACCGCAACCAGATAATGAGTATCTAACAACACGGCTCAGTTCAACAGCAAACGACTTCATAAACTAATGTCATGTTTTGCTTTGGTCACCTCTAGCTTTCCTTCAACCTACTCGTATACTTAAGTAAGCAGTTGTCAAGCCCACTTAAAACATGTGTTCCAGTCACTTCAATTGTTGAAATTCCACTACTTTACCTTTACCTATTATCCTGTGTCTAACATCAATATTGCTTACTCAGCAGTCAGATACTAGTTTTATACCAATTTTCTCTACTTATAAGACTGCTCTCCACAATTATAAACTGTTGTACTGTATACCCATTCCTTGGTTGGTAGACGGGCATTTTGCTTAGGTTACAAGAAATGCAAGTTTTGAAAAGTCAAATTAATTTTTTTCAAATACCAAACCACCAAGGCTAATGATATTTTCAAGACGAGTGGTCAACGCGCTCAAATACTTCAGTCACTATGATCAAACTACACATAGAACGAGATCAACCCTGACGAAACATCTTACGTTTAGGAGAATGGAAATATGCTCGAAATATGCTGGGATTGTTTATCAAGAAAACCAGGTGACTTCATTTTTCCACTGTCTTCACCAAGTGCAACTAGATCGTTTTCGAGCTCTAGGCTAATGTGTGAGTCTCATGATAAAAGACCAGATACGGAGAAGCGAAATAAAGAATGTCTTGTCTTTAAAATAAAGTCTATGATAAAGTTAAATGAAAGTGGGATTATTGAGCAGTCATGATGAACACCGCTTAAAGTTGCCGATTCGGATTAAATTTGACCATAAACTCCGACGTGGTCAACAATGTTCAAGTTATAGTAGGAAATGCTGACATCTGTAGTTAACCCATAGAAAAATTACTCAGTTATTAACTGATCATATCGGAAAAAGATCTGATTGTATCCCAAATTGGCAACTTATAGGTTCGAACAATTTCCACTTCATTGGTTTACTAGTCCCATGCTAATTTAAAGATCTAGAGGTTTTATATCAGATTATTATGTCTCAGAACTACAGTAATACAAATTTCTAGTAGTTCCTCATTTTTAAAGTTCTCCGGTTGACTAAATGGTCCCTAAAAATCGTATGATTATTTACTTCTGCATACAACTGGATGGAATGAAACGTAAATTAAAGTTGGTTTAAAGTACTTTGCCATGTAATAACTCAAAATTTCGATACACCGAGCACCATACTTGTAACAAGTGAATAACTTATAAGCACCTAATCATTACACGCAACATGCAATAATGGTCAATCTATTACTTACATACGCCTGTTCCCTTCGTGGAGGATCATAGGCCGCTCATCAGCATTCTCCATCCAACTCTATCTTGGACAATCCTTTCCAGTTGTTATTCATCCATTTCATGTTTGCATCCAATTAACCAAAGTTATGAATAATACCTTGCTAAAAATAGATGATAAACACAAAGTTAAGTCAGTAAGCAGTAAACAGAATGAATATGTAGTAAAGAATTGTTTGAGTTATAAATGAGTTAAAAAATGAATTGAATCGAAGATTTATTCAGGTATTCAGTTAAAAACGCGGCAACCAGAGAAAATAAGACAATAGGAAAAATAAGCTTTTTTAATATGTTGAAGAAAAGTTTGAAAGATCATTTGATCATAAAGAAAGAAATTGTACGGACTTCAATATGAACGTCAAGTAAGTTCTGTCGTATGGATCTGAAACTTGGAGAACTACTACAACCATAATCGAAAAGGTACAAATATTTATTAACACACAAGATACTCAATATCCGTTAGTTGGTTACCATCATCAACAACTTACTGTGGGAGAGGACAAACCAGCTTCCATCTGAAAAGGAAATTAGGAAAGGACGTTGGAAAAGAAAAGGACCTACACTATAGAAACCATAAGCCCTAAATCACGATCTTGAAGGCAAACGGGAAAGGAAAAGGCCAACGAACACATTACCATGGGAATTGGAAGCAGACATGAAAAGGATGAATAGCAAGTGAAAAGAACTGTCCAGGACAGAGTTGGATGGAGAATACTGGTGGGCAGCCTATGCTTCTCGACGAGGGGTAACAGGTGTAAGTATATATATATATATATATATATATATATATATATATATATATATATATGATTAGAGTTAACAATGAAAAATCTTACTGCAAATCTCCAACCGTAGGTCACGATTATCTTGAAGATTAAAATCGGGAAGAATACACGGTTCATTAGTTCGTTAGGCAGTAACTTTATAAATTTTCTTTTGAATACCTCTAGCTTTCTTCTAAACTGTATTTATATTCACTGTCTGCTCATTTGATATATTCACCTACTTAGTATAGATATTGCTTATTGTTGTTAACAAGTCATCTATTGAATATGACATCTAAACTATATGAATTTGTTGTTTTAGCGAACCACACTAGCAACCAATATTCTGTAATAAGTTAAGTTTAAGCATCATCCTGCTAAAATAGTTCATTTCATTATTCAGGTAGCTGGTTTTCATATAAATGTACATTATCTTGGTAGTTTGGCAATAACATATTTCTGTGAGGTTTTTAATCAACGTCTGTCTCCTTAGTTTATCTGTCATTATATGTAGATATGAACTCCGCCTGGAGCTCCTCTGGGGCTACTGCCGGTCATAAGGCTGAATAAAGGAGGAGGGTTGAGTATGGGGTTAGCGACCTCATCCCATAGAAGAATAACTCGCTAAAAAACGCAAACCAGAGAAAATAATTCAAACAGTTTAAACTCTACCCTGGGAGTTGTAAGGTCTTCATTTAAAAGTGTTATGACGCCTCATGGTGAAAGTCAAGTTCTTTCGGAAGTCAAGAGGCTTTTACCTCTTCTAACAACCAGAGCAACCATTAATTTAGGTACATAGAGTACATGTACAATGTAGGAGATAGGAACAGTCATCCAAATTGTTGCAGAAATGAAAAGATACAACGTGGAATGCTTTGAATTAGTAAAATACATTAGACGCAAGTTGGACAACAAAGACTAGCTTCAGGGGAGTCGGTGTTATACTCCGGCCATAAAGAAGAAAATGCTTCACATACACGTATGTAGATGTGACTCAGATCATATTAAACTTCTATTACTGGCAAAGAAATAAACTTGGTAGTAACTGAATTAAAATGAGTAAGCAATTATTCTACTATTTATAAATCTAAGTCATTGCCTCGTTTAGATATAGATTTCAACTAGATTGTTTAACTGGTAAAACAGTCAGTTAAAAAGGAAGTATTTATGTGAAGAAATATGAATTGATATTGTCCAAATCTATTATATTCTCAGTGAAATAGAGCTGGAAAGTGTTGCTCAGGACAGGGTTGGATGGCGAATGCTGATGAGCGGCCTATGCTCCTTCACGAGGAGTAACAGGCGTAAGTAAGTTAGTAAGAAATAGAGTAGCTCAGTAGTATTTCATTGGCACCACTGATGCTAATTATTTGAATCATATTTATTTAAACTTTATTAGAATAATCTTAAACTATAATTAGCCCTTGAAAATAGATTTGGTTTGTACTCTAATAACTGAATTTGTGCATTGTATCATAAATGTTCTTTTGATTTTTATAGATTTTAGCTTGGCTTACCCCATCTGCACGATGTTTTACAAGTCGCAATGAACGAGAAAATTCTCTCCAGAATTGTAATTCATCCGGAATTCAATATGCATTAGATCTTAATCGTGATCCGCTAATGATAACAAGGTAAGAGTGAATATGCTGTTTTTTGCAAATTCTTTTGTAAAATTAGATATTTAAGTCTAGTTGATTTAGGTTTATGGATCAAACTTCCTCAATCATAATTCAATATCTTCAACACTTATCATTAAAAAGTAACTAACGCTGTTTGAGTTGGATCGTGAATGCTGGTGGGCGGTTTATGCTCCTCCACGAGGTGTAACAGGCGTAAGTAAGTAAGTAAAGTAACGATGCCTGTACAACAACATTGAACGTATCGGTAAATGTATGGCTTCCTGTAAGTTTGGGGCATGTAAAGGTTATTAGATCGTATACGATATTCCCATGTATTTTGCCGCAATAACTCAGTTTCCAAATACCATCACTATTATTATTTGACATGTTTTATTGAATAATGAAAGAAAAATTCATTAATATTATCAAAGTAAAGTAATACAGTTTGTGATAAAGGCAATCAAGAATAGATTCATTTGTAGAATGATTGTTCTAGAGTTTTAATTTTTCCATTTACAAATCCTGAGTAATCTTCCACTTTCTACAGTGAAGCACTGACAGGTAACTTAACAAAATCATTACAACCCGTGTTTAAAGCGATGCCAGTTAATGTTTCGAAATGATAAAAACTAGTAACAGTTCCAGTTGAACTGGAACTTTAACAAGACGTAAATAGCAACTCGATTTTTAGAACTACGTCAGGTGAGGTTGTATTGTTTTTTCAGTGAACAAGAACACAAGTGAGGGCAATTGAATGTATTCAAACACAAACTTTCAGCACATGTAAGTAAAATCTGAGAACCATACAGTAATCACAATTGATTGATCACTAGGTGGTGATCAATGGCATGTGTGTCAAGTCGTTCTTAGTGCAGATCGAATGCTATAGACCAAGTTGCAATGTGGCCACTAGTCTAAGTGAGTCGACATTGCGTGCACTATGTTGAGATAAGATGGTGGTTGGAGGTAGTCAACAGGAAACCCTGGATCCGGGTTTCGTGCTATTTGGCACTCGTCAGTGCCAAGTCAAGTCCTTCTATTTTGGTTTAGTTTTTCTATGATCATTTTGCAGAAAGAAAGAAGTTTCTTTTTTAAAATCAGTATATATGACACTGAACTTCTAAATCCTACTGATTTATCCTTCATTTCAAAACACTATTTTTGTTATTACTTGAACACCTAAACATTGGTACAATGGGGCACCAAATGTATATGTATCACACAATAACAATGTGGTCAGTAGTAGTTGTCATTGATTTGTGTGAGAGCTGTGATGCTGCCCGGACGCCCGAACCGAAGCAGGTGGTCCTCTTTGGGGGATGCACGTCCGGAGCCTTTGACTTGAATGTTTAATCCACAAGACAATAGAGCAACTTTAGTACATGTAGTCCCATGGTAGCCGGTGACCAACAATGGGTTGTTACGCCTTTTGTTTCTTCAGGATCATGAAGCCCATGTCAACCATTGGTTTACAATCAGGATTTTCCAACTCCTAACTCTTTCATATCTGTCAACCTGGTTAGTGCACCGGATATTGTATTTTAATCCTCTCAGTTTCGTAAACAACAGTAATGTTTCGAGAAGTCAGTGAGTAGGACAGTGGCTGTATACGCGTGTCCATGCAAGAACATTTCAAGAGAGAGAGAGAGTGCGCCGACTGTCCCCACTCTCGGCCATACCAAGGCATCTTATGACCACAGCATTTAATAATCAATTCACAGAACATTGAACATTAAAATTTCGAGTATGCATTTTGTTTGACTCAAGGACTAACAATTAGTATATGATTTATTAAATCAATGTTGCTTATTCTTCTTACTTCACGTTACAAATATATTTGAGAATATAGTTTACTAAATGGTTCTAAACAACTATTTGAATCTCATATACTACTGATAAACCTTTATATATATATCACGTATATTTTTTGTGGATATTATGGTAATTTAAATAGTTGAGCTCATGAGTCGATTGAAACTAGCACACTATGGATAACCTGAAAGCACTGGACGGCCGTTTCGTCCTATTGTGGAACTCCTCAAAAGTGCACATCTACGATCCCGCTTGCATGACTCGAGAGGTATTACCTGGAGTTCCAGTGAGAAGCCGTAACCAGTGGAGTTCAACCGAGTCTGTTATGAGATAGTAACTCATTGAAGACAATGGTGGATGTGTCGCTCATTTTTGTGGAATAGTTGAAGTTAGATAATAACACCATTGAATGCTAGCTTAATGGTTTAAAAGTTAAACGCTCGGGCGTGAGACCGATGGGTCACGGGTTAAAATCTCACGAGGTGGAATCGTGGATACACACTGCTGAATAGTTCTACACCAGGACTAAATGGCCGTCAAATGATTCCAGGTTTATCATGTTGATCTAACTTCAATTGACTCATGATCTCATCTATGATTTATTTCAAAATTTCTACTTTATATTTTCTTTTTCGTCTATGATTTCTTCTTTCTTTTTCTCTCGTTTATTTCTTATAGACAAAAGTCAAATAGTAATAAATTATCATCATCATCATCATCAGCTAATCAATCGTATCCTCAGAATTCTACGGATTTATCATTAAATGAAATAGAAATTGATGAAATGAATCCAGTTAAATTATGTAAACATTTAACACAAATAAATTGGAATGAATTAAATAAACAATATACTACTGATTTAATTAATAATAATAATAATAATGATAATAATAATAACGATATTCTATCAATGATTAAAAGAATTAATAATAATAATGGTAATTTATTAAAAATGAAAAATTTAATTTCACTTAATCCACCATATAATTCACAAAAATCTATGTTGAATAATAATAACAATCTAAAGGTGATTATGGTTCATTGATTATTATTATTATCAATAGTAGTAGTGGTAGTGGTAGTATTATTAGTAATATCATTATGTTTTGGCGGCCTCCTTGAGCATCTGGGCTACCTGTTCCCGCCATCTAGATATTTCAACAAATTATCTATTTTTTGCTTGTTTTAATATATCATTATGTTTATTCATCGCACAACCTATCTTGGTGCATTTTTGAAAAGTGTACAACCTTTCGTTGTCAAAGTTACAAACAACTCAATAAGAGAGAATGTGGTTGCTGGCAATATACAACGAAAAGAATGTACATTATTCAGATGTTCATTCAGTGAACTGTTAACATCTAACTGGCGATCACTCAATATTCATCGCCAGGACAAACCAAGAAGAAAGAAAACGGAAACTTGTTGAAATACTTTGCGCTGAGAATTCTATATAGTAACAAAAATATAATATTGAATAAAGCTAATAATAATAATAATAACAATACCATTATCATTAGTACTATTATCATTACTACTAATATTATTACCATTATTATTATTATTATTATTATTAACATTGGATTTATTACCATTGGTATTATTACTATATTATTATTATCACTATTATTATTAATATCATTATTATTACTATTATATTATTATTATACGGCTTTATTCAGTATTATTTTGTTCGTACAATATAGAATTCTCAACACAAAATATTTCAACAAGTTTCCGTTTCTTATTTCTTAATCGATTCTGATGATAAACATTTAAGTGTTAGCAGTTCAATCAATTGACATCTTAAATAATGTATATTCTATTCCCTTGACTATTGTAACCAATGATTGTAGACTCTGTGTGACATAGTTCAAAATCGATCACAATGACTTAGGTTTATACACTCTTTTTCTTCCCTTAAATAATGAGAATAAAATCGCTTTATACCTTTCTTTGTACAAACAAATTCTTCCTTTCTGTACTACTGTGGTGTGTACTACTTATATTGATATAAGTAATATATGACTTTATTCGTGAACAGAACGTCTGGCAGCAGAGAGACAACAGGATCGAACAGTAAAGAATGGTAACAGGATGAAATTTATATGAAAATGCAAGAACAATCAAGTCTGAGTCATTTTGAGACAATTGATGGACATTTTTCAAATTAAGCCTTTAACTTTATGATTGTTAGATTTGATTAACAAGTCCTGTAATTTTGTGTCAACTACATTCGATTGTCCCCACTGGTGTTCTTGTTCACTACACTATATCATCATATGCAATCTTTCTTTTATATATTATCACCATTGAAGTGACTACTTCTATGAATTTGGTGTTCATTTTGTTGTATTAATGAGGTATGTCTCATTTGTAAACTTGTGCGACTAATCGTTGTACACTTTTCAGAAACGAACCTGCATAGCTTATGTGATTAATAGTCATAATGATTTATTAAACAAACAATATTATATAATTTCTTGAAATATCTAGATGGCAAGAATAGGTTGTTTAAATGTTTAATTAAGCTTCCATATAGTTGACAAATTTTTTCGGCATCAATCAAATCAAAATGGATTAATTTCACTTAACTGATTGTTTAATAATGAATGAAAATTCTGAAGAAACTTGTATAATAATGTCAGTTTAATGTGTTAGTTTTATATGGTAAAATACAAAAAAAAATATGAATATGTAAAATGAATTAAAAAGGGATAAACAACTAATGAATTATAGTAAAGTTTAGACAAGGTGGGCCACGTGTTACATATGCCTGAACACCGATTATTATGACACGTAATGCTGAATAGTGTTGAAGACGGCTGGGAGAAGGTTACGGGTGACCAAACCAAAACGTGGCATCAGTCACTGAAGTCACTAATGTTTAGTCTTAGCCATGTTGATAAATGCAGACTACTTGGTTGGGGTCCACGTGACTGTTGTAACCAATGGTTGGAAACTTTATGTGACATAGCTCAGAATCGATTACAATGTCGTCGGTGTTTACACTGTCTATCTTCCCTTAAACCGTGTGATTAAAATTACTTTATATCTTTCTTCCTGTTTTATATCCATATACACAATCTTTGCTTTATGTATTACTATCATTGAAGTAACTACTTATATGAGTTTCATGTTCATCTTGTGAGGTAACTTCAACCGATGCATATCTGTGCCAGGTCCTACGTTGTTGCTAACTGACCGACTCAAACAAGTTTAAACGTTCTTAACTACTTTACACTTCAATATTGTAATGATGACTAGTATTGAATTTTAGTGACAAATGCCTAAGAGGGACCCAAACACTTCAATATGCAACACTCATTAGCCAAGTTAAAGAAAAGATTGTTGAAAATACAAGATACAACACTGGTGCTAGGCAGTGAAGTATTGTGGATTACTTCAATCTGTGGTTTTATCTAACTCAGCTTGATTTTTTTAGCTGGCACTTTAACTTGAATGGTGCGTCATCATCATCATCACCCGTGGACCGTCCTTACATATGTGACTGCACAAATAAGTTTTTAATAAATATATTTATATCGGTTATAAATACTTACAAATCAGGGTCAGTCAGTCAGCTACAACGCTGGACCAAGCACATATATGCATCGGTCCAAGTTGCCATACCTCATTAACACAACAAGATGAACACCGAATTCATAGAAGTAGCCACTTCAATGGTGGTAATATATAAAAGAAAGATTACGTATAAGGATATAGTACAGGAAGAAAGAATTAGTTCATGGAAATAAATATATGGAGCGATTTTAATCTCACGGTTTGTGGGAAGATAGACAGTGTATACACCGACGCCATTGTGATCGATTCTGGGCCATGTCACACAGAGTTTCCAACCATTGATTACAATAGTCAAGTAGACTCCAACAAAGTAATCTGCATCTTTCAAAATGGTTCAGTCTAGAAGTTAGTGACTTCAAGCACTAATGTCACATTTTGGTTTGGCCACCCCTAAATATCTTCCAACTATTCACAACACTAGTCAGCATTAAGCCTCGTGGTAATCGGTGTTCAGGCATACGTAATACGTGGCTTAACCATCTCAGTCGATGAAAATCCACAACCTCATCAACTGATTTGCCATCATTCCCTAATACCCTGTGTCTAATCTCACTATTACTTACCCGGTGATCTCAGCAGTATTTCTAAGACATCTGTGGTCAAATACTAGTAGTTTATGAATATCTTCTACTCCTAATGGCCAATTTTCGCAGCCGTGAAGTAAAACAGAACAAATTGATATGCAGTATACTCGTCCTTTTATTGATAGACAGATATCTCGCCTTCGCCATAGGTGACGTAAGTTGGCAAAAGCCAAGCGAGCTTTTCGAATCCGTACTGAGATTTCGTCAGACACCAACTCATTATGGCTGCTCAGACTTCCAAGATAAGTGAAGTTATCAACGCGTTCGACTACTTCACTATCCTTAGTTCAGGAGTTGACGCAGACCAGTCCTGAAGCAACATCTTACATTTAGAGGGAGAGAAACGCATTCTGAACATCCTGGGTACTTTCCTTTAAACAATTATGTAATTTGAATTAAATTTTACACGCTTTTACTCTATTAGAATAATACTAAACTCCTGATGTTATCAATAGTGATTAGAAGAGATTTCTTTTATTGAAAACACTTCCGACAGATTGTTCTTTGTCTTTTGTGTGTGTGTGTGTGTGAATATTTATGTTCTACAGAAAGATTTTTTTAATGATTTTAATAATAATGAAACATATTTGTCAATAGTATATATTCTTCTTTTCATTTCGAATAGATTCTTTCTTACCCCTATAAACCATACATCAATTATTCACATCAATTATCAACTAATGAAACGGATCAAAATATACATTAATTTATGAATAAATGAAGATAATAAGTTAATTTTAATGTAGGTTTCGTTTTTCTTTTTTTTTTCTTACTTCAAATGAAAAACTGAAAAACACACATGACAACAATGATGATAAAATAAACTGGAATGTCTATTTTGTGTATGTGTATGTGTGTGTAGTTTTTTTTTATGTACTTTTTTTGAATTGATTCTTAAAATCAATATTCTTTATCATTTTAATATTTTAATATTATGAAATAAATTATCGTTTTGATATCATAGATTTGATCCTAATATGGTAATATTGTTACTTATATCGACATAAGTAGTATATAATGCGATTCAAGAATATATAATGTCTGTCAGAAGAAGATTGAAAAGATCAAATAAGGAAGAACGGGAACAGAAAACAATTGGTATGAAAAGGCAGGAACAGTCAAGTTTGAGACGATTGTTTGATATTTTGCAAATTATGTATGATTGATAGCATTCGATCTGCACTAAGAAGGATCTGACACACATGACATTGATCACCACCTAGTGATCAATCAATTGTGATTACTGTATGGTTCTCAGATTTTACTTACATGTGCTGAAAGTTTGTGTTTGAATACATTCAATTGCCCTCACTTGTGTTCTTGTTCACTGAAAAAACAATACAACCTCACCTGACGTATATCAAAATCGAGTTGCTAGTTACGTCTTGTTAAAGTTCCAGTTCAACTGGAACTGTTACTAGTTCTTATCATTTGGAAACACTAACTGACATCGCTTTAAACACGGGTTGTAATGATTTTGATAAGTTACCTGTCGGTGCTTCACTGTAGAAAGTGGGAGGTTACTCAGGATGCTTTGATGGTTGATGTTTATCAAATAACTTTGAAGAAAATAACATTTCATAATTGCTATTGGTGAAGACTGTAGTTTGTTAAAGCATCTTACATATCTTGATAATCATATTTTAATTCCGTTTAATAAACTAGAAATGGCTAGGATAAGTTTTTTGTTTGGTATTATTTTTCTATCAGCCAGGCTGTTTTCATACACACTAGATACACGTTTCTGGGGTTCCTTTCATGCGACACTTATGGGGTGGAGCCTTTTTGATGTTAACAGTTTTTGGAGGTACTATTTCGTTGTATTTTCACTTTTATGTTCAACTTCTTTATGTGAGACTTATCCATTGATAATTGAAGATATCGGCATCAATTCAATCTTTTTTCGATATCAAATGTTTTATAGTTCTATGTCTTGATCCCGGCCGTTGTTGCTATCTTGACGTGCTGGTCGGGCTTGCATATCGTGATGAAACAACCGAGCTATACTGACTGGAACAACTGTTCCTCAAGGTCCTACCACGTTAGAAAGGTCGGTTGAACAGCAGTAAAACTAAAAGCAACAAACCCAAGGTCCGAAGGCGAAGTCGTACTGCTCACTGTACAGAGGTGTGACAGCAGTAAGGTGTTTCCTTCAGACAACCAGCATGACAGTGATGCTGCCTTCCCACAGCGAGTGGTGGGGTTAGAAAAGGTCGACCCTAAAATTGCACACCTCGCCTTATCCCACGGATATCCGTCTCCGGCGGTAAGGTCTCAACAAGTACGGAGCTAACACAAAAATTGCCCATAAAAATGTCGTGTGTGACCGACCTCGAGCAGTTGTCCTTCGGGCACTGCGGCCACACTCTCAGGTCATTAAGACCACCTCTAATCCGATTTCCTTTTCAGGTACCTCCAGTAGAACATTTCCACGTTGTGGGCAACCGGGAAGTGATAACCGCCCTCATACCTCTAACAGCACTCAAGACCACTGTATTCATAATCAACCTCCCTCTTCAATTCCTATTATTCCTCCTGCATCAACTTCAAACTATAAACTTCTTTTTTCGGCTTCCCCCTCAATTGTCACCATAGCCAACGATTCTAGTGCTCAAAACACTGTCCCGGGTCTATTGAAACTTCGCACATTGGAGCCTTCAACGTAGGCACTCTATGTCAAATCGGTCAACAGGCTTCCTTGGCTAGAACCCTAGAATCTCGTACCATTGATGTATGCTGTGTCTCTGAAACACGCATACAGGATCCCAGTGTGGTCATTCACTTGACCTCACCTCGGCAAAACGGAGAGCCAACGAGATACACCCTCCGTGTATCTGGTGACCCGATGGCCAGTTCTCGTGGACTGGCAGGAGTAGGGATAGCACTAAGCATGAGTGCGGAACAAGCAATGTTAGAGTGGATCCCCGTCAACAGTCGTCTATGTACTGTCCGGCTAAACGGCTCCGTAAGAACTCGGAAGGATAGGGACACACGTCGTTGCCTTCTTGTCGTTTCTGCCTACGCTCCCACCGACTGCAGCTCAGATGAAGTGAAGGATGAATTTAAAAGAAAGCTATCTGAACTTCTTCAGAAAGCCAAACGTTCAGACATAGTACTCGTAGCAGGTGACTTTAATGCGCAAATAAGTAGTTTAAACCAAACAGAAAGGCATTTAGGTGGGTATTTTAGTATTCCGGCACAACGAACAGATAATGGTGATCGTCTGCTGCAACTATGCTCAGACAATCGTTTATTTTTAGCAAACACAAATTTTAAGCATAAAGAAAGACATCGTCTAACATGGCAACCCACTATACCAAACCAACGATGGACTCAAATAGACCATATAGCCATCAGTCATCGTTGGAGAGGGTCGGTAGAAGATTGTCGCTCATTCTGGAGTACCTGCTTGGACTCCGACCATGGCCTAATACGGGCACGCATCTGCGTGCGCCTCACTGGACGCAAAAAAGCCTCAGTAAAAATACCCATTAGAACTGAATTGAGTATCGAGACAACCAAAAATAGGTTCCAGGAACAATTCAGTTCACACTTAGGTAGTTCTGAAGACGAGGCTGACGCAGATGTTGCTTGGAAAGCTATACAAACAGCTGTGGATACAACAGTGACATCTATCAGTGATATAAACCACAGCGTTACAAAGAATCAGTGGATTTTCTCAAGGTCTATCACACTGATGGATTCTCGTAAACTCATCCCATCAGGCTCTGAGCGACAACAAATCAGATCTAGGTTAAGAAAACGTCTAAGGAACGACCGTGAGCAGTGGTGGGAATGAAAGCAGAAGAGGTGGAAAAGGCGGCAGCTATAGGGAATACAAGACAGCTCTACAGACTAATAAAAAAAACTGGAACTAATAAGTCAAGTGTAAGTGAGATTATTTCGGAAAAGGACGATACTCTCATCTACTCCCAGTCCAGACGTTTAGAACGATGGGCGGAACACTTTAAGGAACAGTTCAACTGGCCTTCAGCGACTCTACAACTACCGTCCATTCCCAGACGGTGTGAATGAAACATCGAAGTAGGTCCCCCAACTCTTGCTGAAGTTCAAAAGGCTATAGTTAATCTGAAACGAGGAAGAGCAGCTGGTCCAGATAGATTGGCTCCAGAAGTCTATAAGGATGGTGGTCCAATTTTAGCGATTAAATTGACTAATATTTTATCTAAGATCTGGGAGTAAGATGTTATTCCATCTGACTGGTCGCACTCACTTATCGTCTCAATACATAAGAAAGGATCAAAATCATCCTGTGACAACCACGGAGGGATTAGTTTAACTAATATAGTATCTAAAATACTAGCCTCGATAATTATCAGACGCCTAACTAAGACTCGTGAACTGCAAACACGAGAGAATCAAGCTGGCTTCAGACCTGGTCGTGGTTGCATCGACCACATATTCACCTTTCGTCAGGTTCTAGAACAAAGGCATACTTATCGGCGTCCGACGACGGTGGTCTTTCTTGACTTAAAAGCAGCATTTGACTCGGTAGAACGCGAGATTCTGTGGCAGTGTCTGTCATTGAAAGGCGTACCCGAGAAGTACATAAACCTTGTAAAGGCTCTTTACTCAAACACTACTAGTCGAGTCAGAGCTTATGGCGATCTGTCATCTAGTTTTGCAACCTCAAGTGGTGTCCGTCAAGGCTGTCCACTTTCTCCATTTCTGTTTAACTTCATCATAGACCTACTGATGGAAATAACATTTTCGTCGACTGAATTCTCGGGTATTGATCTCCTACCAGGAGGTCCACTTATCGACTTAGAATATATAGATGAAATACTTCTGTTTAGTGAAGACGCTGATAAAATGCAAAGTCTTTTGGTAGCACTAAGCTACAATGCCAGAATGTTTGTAATGCGCTTCTCTCCCTCTAAATGCATGTTGTTGCTTCAGGACTGGCCTGCATCAACACCTGAACTAAGGATAGAGAGTGAAGTAGTCGAACGCGTCGACAACTTCACTTATCTTGGAAGTCTGATCAGCCATAATGGGCTGGTATCGGACGAAATCTCAGCACAGATTCGAAAAGCTCGTTTGGCTTTTGCCAACTTACGTCACCTGTGGCGAAGGCGAGATATCCGTCTATCAATAAAAGGACGAGTATACTGAGCGGCAGTCCGTTCTGTTTTAATTTACGGCAGCGAAACATGGCCTTTAAGAGTAGAAGACACTAGTAAGCTACTAGTATTCGACCACAGATGCCTTAGAAATATTGCTGGCATCTGCTGGGATCACCGGGTAAGTAATAGTGAGGTTAGACGCAGGGTATTAGGAAAGGATGGTAAATCAGTCGATGAGGTTGTGAATCTTCATCGACTGAGATGGTTGGGCCACGTGTTACGTATGTTTGAACACCGATTACCACGACGTGCAATGCTAACCGGTGTTGGGGATGGTTGGAAGAAAGTTAGTGGCGGCCAAACCAAAACGTGGCATCAGTGCTTGAAGTCTGAGCCATGTTGGTAGATGCAGACTACTTGGTTGGGGTCCACGTGACTATCGTTACCAGTGGTTGGAGACTCTTGGTGACATGGCTCAGAATCGATAACTGGTGTCGGTGTATACACTCTCTGTCTTCCCTTAAACCGTGAGATTAAAATCGTTTCATATCTTTCTTCCTACGAACTAATTCTATATTCCGGTATTGTATCCTTATATGCAATCTTTCTCCCGTATATTACCACCTTTAACCTAACCACTCCCATGAATCCGGTGTTCATCTTGCTGTGCTAACGAGGTATGGCAACCTGGACCGATGCATATATGTGCCTGGTCCTACGTTGTAGCTGACTGACTGACTGACTATGTCTTGATGGCCATATAATTGCTTAGGTGATATTTTGAATAACCATTTAAGAATTGATGCTAAAGTATCTTAGTTTTGCCTGATGATCTGTGAATAAGTATGAATAGAAGCACATAGTTTATTATTTTATATAAATTCAAGATGTATCCGATATTCACAATCGCTTTGAACTCAAAAGGATGCAGTTGGATTACCAGGCAAAAGATTAGTGGTTAGCTAGCTGTTTTAATTAGTAATATATCTTTGTACCTCCAAACAAATGATTCCTAATAATTATCTTTAACGTAGAGTAGTTGTCAAACGATTCTTAATTCTGAAGGCTTAACCGTCATGAAATGCAAGTATTTATACCCATAATCATGATTGATTCTAACCCGAGCTTAGTAATTGGCCACATTTATAGGTATTTTTGTTAACGTGTGTTATTATTCAACCACAAGCATCTCCGAAATAATGTTGTTCAGGTTTCGTTTCTGCTTAACGTTTTTAGAGTTTTTTAACGAGTTAGTTTCCTACGGGATGGGGTCGCTAACCCCATGCTCAACCCTCCTCATTCACCCGGGCTAATGACTGGCAGTAACTGTAGAATAGCTACAGGCCGAGTTAATCCCTTTACGTGCCAGGGAAACATAATCAATGAACATGAAAGATCGAATGCAGACGTAAGGCGAGGATTGTGAAAGCAAAGACACCATTCCTACAAGTGTAGAACATATAGAACTCAAAACAACTTTCAACCATCATCAAAAAGTCACAATCTTCGATACGAACGTCAAAATAGCCCTACTCTTTGGAGCTGAAACTTGGAGAACTGCCACAACCTTCACCAAAAGAGCCCAAGTATTTGAAAACAATTGTCTACACAATATACTGAATGTTCGTTGACCGGATACCATTAGCAACTGTCTACTGTAGGAGAGAACAAACCAGCTTACATCTGAAGAGGATATTAGGAAAAGACGATGGGAGTGGATAGGACATACATTACGAAAATCATTAAACTGCATCGCGAGGCAATCGCTAAATTGGGATCCTGGAGAGAAAGGCCAAAAAGACCGATGTGTCGAGAATCGAATGCAGACATGTAAAGGATGAATGGCAAGTGGAAAGGATTTTCCAAGATACACTTGAAAGGAATATACTGGCAGGTGACTTATGCTCCTCGAGTTGTAACTGGCGTAAGTACGTACAATCTAAAGTTCACTATATCATGATATTGTAGATATTTCCATCGACTTCAAACTTTTTAAGAATGAAATACTACCGGTTTTCACTTGGTTAATAATGACTCACATGTTATCTCTCACTGTACTTTAAGCTTTGTACAAAATAATCATGTTATCTTAATTTCGATTGTTGGGCTCATGGCCATCAGTATGTCATACTTTTGCTGTAAGGATCAAAGTGGTAGAACACCATGCAGCCGCACGAATAACTTAACAATTTATCGAATCCCATCAAATTGTTTACTACAAATTCTATCTTTGAAGCATATATGTTTTGTAATACAGCCCCATTTAAATCAAATTTCTAAGTGCGAACTAGATCCTTTTCATTAGTTCAAGCATTTAAAAAACCTAAAAATTCCACGTATGTTCAGGGTTTGACAGCGCCTTTGGCCTTTGCAATTTCCTAATCGAACGATACTAACTCATTAGAATCAAACGTCATAAATGGAAATGTTCAGTCATATTTGGAAGGTAATTGGTATATTGAGAAGCGTTTGATTCGAGATGGCTAGTTGTTACTCAAGTTGCGTGGTATGTCATACTCAATCTTGATGTTGTGAAGATACGTGATCTGGCATATTCGCTAGGGTGTTTTACGAAAACAAGTGAAATCAACAGTAATGTTGAAGACTTACAGTACTAGATACTTCAGGGATTTGTTTCTCATTACATATCAACCATAGTGGGGTGGTGATAACCCTAAGGCAGCGATAAAAAATTGACACCTAAACGTTATTTTGGATTTTTATGAAACCTTGTTCATATATGTGGGCATGTCAGAGGACCAGTTTTTTGTTACTGACACCGAAAAAGAACTAAGATTAAAAGCAAGCAGTCGTAGGACCTAAAGCACTAGAATAAACGAAAACTAATAAAATCTCTTGCTTGTACTATTTGTTCAGGTGTTCTGGATAGCTTACGATGTATTTCACAGCACGTTATCTTCGGCTGGTTGTCGGATACCAGCGAAATTTCAAATCTGCCGTCAACTATTGGGGACTTGTATTATTCGAATGCTTACCCGGAAGCCAACATAGCTGCAATTTCCTCCTAAATAATAACCATTAATCCATCGTTTCCGATGTTGTCGTAAGTTCTGTTCTCACCAACGGTATAGTACTTGGGTCTGCAATCAAGAGCTCTGTAGGGTTCCTTATACTCAGTTCTTAGGGGTCGGTTTAATAAGTCGCGTCGTATAAAAATGTCAGTTGATTGCGGTCGAGCGGATGTAGGTTCAACTGAACCCATCACGCCAATAAGCCTGCTCGTGTGAATGTTTATACCCATATTCAGCGAAAAAGGTGAGAGTCCTGGAAGTTGGATTGTCGTTCCGTAAGCGAGTTGTGTTGCAGTATACTCATCGTCAGCTATCACCGCATTGCGAGTACTAAGTAAAACGAGTGGATCAGCGTCAGTTCATCGCGAAATGCTTGCAGCTGGAGCTTTTCTTCGTATTCAGTCACCATTATTCACTATTTAGACACCTATTATTTTCTTCCCTTTTAGCAACCATGTGAAGAGGAGATTGCCATTGTCTGTTTGACGGCTAGATTATTCCAATTTTACCATGTACTCAAACACGTTTTGACCAGCCCAAACATTTCTAGGGCTGTGTTGGCGCCTTTTCGAAAATACGGGTGGTTCTGCAATCGTGATATGACGAATAGGATTGCTGGATGCTCACAATGATTGCTGTAATCTTTTGTACATTTTGAGGTATAAGTCGAGTATCAGTTGCGACTAATCGTGACTTGACGTAACGTCAAACCGGAAAACGAAATCCTACGAAAATATATTTCAGAATTTCCTCCTTTTAACCTACGTTTCTATGAGTCCATAAGTAGATTACGATGTATTAGCAGGTCTTTAATAATGATCGACATAAAAAATCTGTGTGTCAGTGTCAAATAGATTACAGACTTTCTTCACATCAGTGATGGGCAGCAGATGAAAATGAAGATCGGCTACATCTGCTATTATCGCTTGCCGGAATTTTTGATGTTGGGGAAACTACATTGTTTCTCGAAAGTTCTGGAAGAATTACACTGCTGGTCATGGCACCAGCGCCAACCACGGTTAACTGTATCCCGTAGTTTAGAAAACGATCTTTGTAGTGAAGGGCTTTTAGAGGGAGCCTTGAAGAGTCTGTGATCGTGATGAATGTAAAGACAAGTAAAAGTATTACAGACACTTGTAATGCCATTTACTATCTTTTGAGGCCTTTCACTGACAAAACAGACCTCAGTGTTGAGTGTTCCGGTGATCGTCAGAACTCATACGACAAATGCAACCAGTTCGTTTACGGCTTTACTACGGAGTGGATAAGAACCGATTGTACCTTCTGGGAAAGCTCATATAAGAAATGTTGTTTAAATAGGCCGTCATTGAAAGCCTGTTGAGCAATGAATTACTATATGCGTAGCAACATTTTTGTTGCTGAACCACGTTATAATATAGTACTGCAGAACAGGTGGTCTACATTTTGTCAATCTACTAAGTTTCCACTTCTAGTTTGATGTGCTATAAGATTCCGTCACGTAACTAGGAAACATACTAGGTGTAACGTACTCTTTGATATCGCCCGGTAATGCCTTACCTACGTCGAAGAATAACACTCGTGGATCTACCACACTGTGCTCGTGTAAGTGCGATTCTAGGTAGTAGATCTAGCTGTCGATATTACCAGACAAGGTTGACATGAATTGAAAGAAAGGGGTATAAGAGTCCTAATTTTTAAAGATTTGCGTGTTTGCTTCAGTGTTATGTAGATAAATTATGCGGATAGGCAAGAACGTTTGAGACTCATAGTACGTCGTACTCAATCATAATGTGGTGCAGATTTGTGACCAAGCGCCTTCAAGTAGAGCGTAACCAGTAAACATGATGAAGTCGACACCGATTTCCAAGACTAACGGAATTATTTGTTTTATGATTCATCATTCGTTACAGACCAAATATTATCAATGTCCACTTCGTTTATGATAACAGTAAAGTTTTCAATTGTTATGCTTTAAATTCCTCTCTAAGCGTCATCGTGATTCTGATTGACTAACTCAAGGCGGTTGTTTCGTAATACGTTTATCTTCAAGGTCGAGGCGGTTAGCACACTTAATGGTGAGCCATAGATGATTTGGAGTTTGAAGAAATATTTTCTACCTGAATAGTTGAAAGCTTAAAAGAGAAGAGTTTTGGGTTTCATTAAGAGGATTCACATCAACAGACATGTAATCTATGTTTCATCGCTATAAGCGTATAGAATATTCTTGTTCATTTCGTCCTATAACGAGTTAAAACTCTATCTTTTCCATCCCGACTTTGGTGCCTAGGTTCTATATAAAGATGTTCAAGCCACTCACTGGGCAGTCCTGTGCAATGGACAGGAGCATTTCAGGAAACTAATCTTTATCATATGGGCTGCTGTGATTGATGAATGCATAGCACTGGGTGACACTCACGGGAATCCTTCGTTTATTTTCAAGTATACTTTGATGGTACTAAATTCATGAGATTCCTACCCCATAAACGTTCTTCTTGCTTCTTCGGAGAGAAAGTATTCGAGTACTCCATCTCTACCCGAAGTTTGTCCTGATGACGTTCTAAAGAACAATAAGAGCTCTACGATCACATCATCTAGCTCAAAGAACAAACCTCTAGTCCAAATCATCCAACTGAGCTACAGGTATTCTCCATCATTGTCTAGAAACTCCATACCCCCATAATAATCGCTCTGGCACATATATTTATATATAAAACCACATTTGAACTATGAGATTCAAATCGCTTCATGTTTCTCTTTCTAAAAACTAGTCCTTTCTTCCTGTACTATGTCTTTATATACAGTCTTTCCTTTATATATTCCGTGAATTCTGTGTTCATCTTGTGCTAATGAGGTATGGCAATTTGGACCGATGCATATATGTGCCTGGTCCTACATTGTAGCTGACTGACTGACATTTGAATTATGAGGCACAAACAGTAACTTTTTATCTCGAAATACAGTAGTGAAATTAAAATGGGTCCGAGGGAAGTGGGCTATGACTGCATAATTGTTTACTTATTTCTTGGAACGAACGACTTCCATGCTTTAACTTCTCTTCTCAGTGTTGTGTTAAGTTAACACGTTCTTTTTTATTCATTTTCTATATGTTGATTTCGGCGTAATTATGTTTCGTTTGAGATCGTCTGAAATATTTCCAGGACAAGAAGTAATCACATAGATGCCCCTTTATCTCACAATGTCATTTTCATTATGAATTTCGTGTCAGATTTTGTGATATCAGCAAAAGTTGTTGACGCCGTCAGTGTGAAATCGGGCCTACACAAGACTGGATTGCAAAGGCTAAGGTAGTTTTCTTAGCTTTTCATTTTGTTCTACTGAATTTGTACGTCGGTCAACATATTTACTAGATCAGACGTGGTAATCAGGACTAATTATTTATGAGAATAGACTGGTAGGGAGGTTCTAATTAAGTGACCTCACGTCATTATTTATTTATTTGAACACATATTGATACAGGAGTGCGCCAAATATATATGCGCCACACAGCATGATCATAAACAGTTCAGTTCATTAGTTGTGTGTGGGCTGTGATACTGCCCGGGTGCCCAAACCGAAGCAGGTTGTTTTCTTAGGGGGCCACACCCCGAGCCTTTGACCTAATGGTCTAAGCCACAAGGCAGTGGAGCATCGTAAGGAGATGCAGTCCCATGGTAGCCGGTGACCAACAATTGGTTCATACGCCATTTGTTCCCGCAGGATACTGGAGCCCATGTGCCTTGTGAAAGCGTTTAGCTCAAAACCAAATGTAAAAACCTGCATTTGGTTTTACATATCTGTTAAGATTCAGTAATCCATACCATCCATGGCTTGTTGCTCAATTTGTTTGGAGTATATTTTATCTTTGCCTGCTATTTCACGTAATAGCCAGGAGAGTCATCACTAATGGATAAAATTTCACATTAACCGCAAGCCTGTGGGAGATTCTTGCTTGCAGTTTATCTGTTGACATTCGGCGTAGGTTCCTAAGGTTCTTTATTGAGACTATAAATTCTCATACTAGCTATGAACATATATACTTGTAGACTCATGTATTCGACCTTATGCCACACTTCAGTTGTCAGGGATCGTCCTACTAAGCAGCTACTCGGAACCGAATAATGTGTTCAACTAGAGTGCTTTGAACACCTAGTTTCTGCATGTGTTGTGACTTGTATTTACAAAAGTATCGGCAGGCCCTTAAATACTTAACACTAGTTCAGTGGACGTCTAGGTAATTTGCAGTAGCAATACAATATTTTGTCAGAAAAAACGTTCAGTTAACGTGCTCCTCCTCCGAGGTAGTGTATTTTCCGTCTAAAGGATTCTCGCTAGAATCAATGTTCTTTCAACAAACTTCTTGATTGTTTCAGACAATAATACAGAGCTTTTCCTCCATAATTCAGTTTTTATCACCTGAAAGGAAATGTGGATGTAAGGGAATCCGGAGTTGTGCAATATGTGACAATGACAACATTCAAAAAGATGTACGATAAAGTTTTTTAATTATGATGTTCAGAAAGGACGACAGCTTGACGAGTTCACATTTTGTCCTTCTTGCGATATGGCAGTCGTTGAGACAAACATAATGTCAAAAGAGTTTCATGTCCATCAAGGTGGTTTTCCTTTCCTGGACATCGAAGTTATTCGGGATTTTGTTGACGAAAATGAAGAAGCAATGTTAGTCGAGGAGATCGATAAACAAGCATGGGTTTTATCTCAATCTGGGAGGAGAAAACAGGTATGTATATTTTATCCTAAATTTCTATCATTTTGTCACTGAAATCTCGGTCACTTTATATCATTAATCTTCAGCGTTACATACACACGGTACTAGTAGTGTCCTGTCTCAGTAAAATGTGTTAAAATGCGACTATATGAAGGGGGTGCCTTGATAGTTATTACTTGATATTTTGTGCTTTATATGGCCGAGTTGTGAACGCCGTTAAGTCTGGGAAATAGGACTTTCAATAATCAGAAAGTAAAATTTAGTTTCGCGTTCATAATTCATATATGTTGTGATGAAGACTTTATTTCACTTGCGTGAGGTCATCATATACACATAAAAATTATAGCCAAAATGTAATTTAGTCAATAAAAGGTCGAGTATGACTAAATTAGTGGAAAAGTTAGCCTTGAAGTCATTATCAGTATAAGTCGTTTCTGGAACTGTCTTTTCGAAGAGTTTTTCGGAAGTCAGGAACATGTAGCAGGAAATACGCTTTACTATCAGGCAAATACGAAAGTTGGATAAAAACGTAAACTTATAACTTCAGTCAAGGGTGCATCAATTCAAATTTCCACACTTAATAAATTCAGTAGGCATGGATTGATCACCTGTATCTTCTTCAGCAGCCGTTGTTTGGAATAACTGAGATGTTACCTAAAATATGATATTCAGATAACCTACTTTAGGTGGTCTAGTTGATTTATCTTTCCAGATTGTAGGAAAGGAGTCACTCTTGTGATGATCCGATTAATTGTAACTCACCTCATAAGGTATATAAAAACTGTGGGCCTATATTTGTTCAATACCTAGTTTATTTATGAGGGGAATCAAATTAGGGAAGGCAAAAAGCGTTCATGGTCAGCTGACAGCGTACTTACACAATTATAAACTTTCACCACATCCTTAGTTACTGATCATTGTTATTATTGGCGTTTTAATTCATCATTTGTTGAGTATTGTGATACTGTCGATAAATACGAAAAGCATCATGCCAGTTTACAATCCTTTAAGTTAATACTTAGAAATTTGTGTGTTACGTTCGTGCGCTGTGTTCATATTTTGCAATAAACCGAAAGAGTCTACTTTGTCCTTTTCTTCTCTGTCTTGCTAACGACCAGTCTCGTAATGTGACCCTTGTTGATGACCTCGATAAAACTGCAGAACTTCCGCTAGTGAGACATTCGCAGTGCAGTAGTGCGTTATGTAAATTAGCTAATGGAAATAAAACGTGATAAATTTATAAGGTCTCTAGCAGTCTATTTATGTTACTTAACAATAGTGTTCCTTCACTGTAGGTGAGGTATGGCAACTTGGAACGATGCATATACGTGCCTGGTCATACGTTGTAGCTGGCTGACTGACTCAATGTAGGTGTCGAGTCTTATTTCTCTTGTGTATTGACTCAGTCATAATCAGCATAAAGTTTTTGATAAATGTGCAGTAACCCAACTTACCATCCAATATCAGCACAGAGAAATGAAGTTGACAAGTCAACTGACACTACAACAAACATTCGCAATGTGGTCCGAGTAGAGGTAATGGAACAGTATGCATGAACGCATACTGAAACTAGGAGTCTGGGGGAAAATAAACGATGAGTGCATCTGCCTGTTATAATCTCTTTCTTACGGTTATAACCAAGCTATTCCTATTGCTTAGTATTCTTGGACACCGATTCACTCGACAAGACCCCAAATCAGAACACGGTTGAACAGGAAAGAGGTTATATTCCAAATAACAAGGTTAGATGGAGGCAAGATGCAAGCCAGAAGAACAATAGAGAAAACGTCAGTATATTTATAGTTTTTACATAAGAAGATTCCAGAGTATTCTCCAACGATCGACTAGTGCCGATTGGATAAGAATTAGCCAATCAGCGCGCACCAAAGCTATCAAGCATTGAGCATGCTTTAATCTAGTCTATGTCCCGCTAACACTGCCCCACTGTGACTGCCAATTCTGAGCCACATCACCCAATCAATAATGGCAGTTATTATAGAGGCCCTAACCAGGTAGTCTACACAGACCACCATAGATGCGATGAACAGTGGATGACTGTACAGATTAGTTAGACTGTTCTTAGCTTCCTTCTGACGTACTCCTACTCCGATGTCTTCTCGATCAACATAGTTGATTGGTTCTTGTAATTCCCAAGTAACAAAGATTAATTTTGTGTTCTTACTCCTCAACAGAATATTTTTTAGTGTTAATTCTTCACGTCTTGTTCTGATAAATATATCTGCTCTTCTTATCACCTCTTCATTGTGTTATTTTGTCGTTATTAATCTCCTCTCTATCTGTGGTTCCGAAGCCAGCTAATTAAGTCGATGGGTTCACGCAACAGGTTCTGCTATGTTTCAGCCAACAATGTTGTCAATATTTTTCTCAGTGTGATGTTGCTGCATTGAAATGTTAACATTCAGTCTGTTCATATGAGTTTGTTGCCAAATGTTGTTTTAGGATTATGGACCAAAAGTGAATTTCAAACGACAGAAGGTGCACATTGGAGGATTTGCTGGTCTGCCAGCATATTCTAGGTTCCTCATAACACGTTACAATGACTTGATTAGAGAGAGCAAATCTCTTCGCCCTGAATTTCTCCCAGTGGAGTTGTGCAACCTGGAGTATAAATCAGATCGTGGAGCTTGTATTGTACCGCACTATGATGATTCATGGTTGTGGGGTGATCGATTGGTGACTGTCAATTTGAGTGGTGCCACTTATTTAACTTTCACATTACCGACAACTGATGTGGTGGATGGCATAAACCACGAATTTAAACGTGTCCAATCGTATGTGCCAAATATTTGTCGGGGCTCAGTAAGTCTACTGTATTTTCAATAGTACCTCTAAACTGGATTATTTGTGGTCTCCTTAATTAGTACTCTGTGATGTTATTTTGTAATGTAAAGGTGTACCGATAAGGATTCATCTGTGCCTGAGTCATGTGTTCAGACGTGTACTAAGGAAGATGAAACTCATGTTTTTCTGTTATGTGTGTTTGTTTACGAAGATTCGTAACTCAGATATCACACCAGTAGTGGTTTGAACTTCCAAACAACGCACAGAAATCTACTTAACATAGCTATAATTATTAGTTTGGAAAACACGATGTGGTCTGTTGTTTGAACGGTTATCGTGATGTCTTACTTTTACGTACGTTTAACACTTATTATTTTGAATAGTTAGTTGACCGTAGTAAATTGAATATTCCACTTATGGGAGATTTATATTACAAGGCTTTGATCTGCATACATATTTAGAGTATTTAAACGTTGGAATTTCAGATCTATTTAAGATCAAGATTTTCGATAATTAATCTTATAGTTTTATCCTTCATAATAATTTTCTGAAAAATTTTGGGGCTAATTTTATGATTGAAATATATGGTTGTGTGTGTTGCCAGTTTTTATAGGTTTGGGTATACGCCTACTTGATTCGGTTTGGGCACCCGGGCAGTATCCCAACTCACACACAAATCAAATGATTATTACTACTGAGAAAATTCTTATTGTTTGAACTCTTATTCAGACAAATCATATTCACGATCATTTGATAACATCCATTTTTATTTTTCAACTTGTACAGCAGCTCATATATGATGGAAGTCCTGTCCTATCTAAACGATCTCATGTCACTTGCTGGTCGACAGTTAAATGCTACCACCGACTACGAATACTGAACCAGTCTTTTTGAAACCACGTATACCATTCAACGTTCGCACACTAATACAGATCGGACATGTAGAGTTGGTTATGTCTTTAGAAAGTCTTAACATCGATGTCTGTTATCTATCTGAATCCTGTATTCAAGACTCAAGTGAATTACAACAATTGGCTCTCCATCTGTCGCTTCGAAAAACCTGTTTCACATGCGTCTATCCGGGGACCCTGTGGTATTTTCGTTTAGTTTTGCTGAGGTTGGTGTCACACTGACCACTAGAGCTGAGGCAACACTAATCGATTGGATCTCCATTAACAGTGGATTATGTGCTGTTAGATTAGAAAGCTACGTCAAAGTGAGAAAGATTGTATGGGGGAAACGACATATTTTCATCAGATTGCAGCCCGAATGCGATCAAGGACGCATCTTACCACCAATCAACAGTTCTACAGAAAGTGCGTTCGATAGGTACTGGTACGGCCGAGGGTGGGCAAAGTTAGCTTTCCCTGTCGAAATGCTCTCGCACGGCCACTGCCAGAGAAGTCCCACTGACTGCCTTCTCGCAGCGGTCCCCGAAATTGGAAGGACAAAATACGAATGTCTGGCTCCTTAACCGGGTTGGTAGATATGGAGGATCCCCCTGGGGGAGTTGAAAAACCGTGATTCCAAACAATGGTGCACATGTGATCCTGAGGGAACAAATGGCGAATGTACCAATGTTCGGTCACCGGTTACCACCGTACTACATCTCCTGACGTTGCTCCACTGCCTAGTGGATCAGACCTTTAGGTCGAAGGCTCGGGGTGTTGCCCTCAAAAAAAAACATTTACTTCGGTCTGGGTACCCGGGCAGTATCACAGTCCACACACAAATCAAGTGACTTGCGCGGCATATATGTATTCGGTGCCCCTTCGTACCAATATTTGTGTTCAAATAAATAAATAAAAGTAATAGCCGAGGACATGATTGCTCAGGTTGGGCGTCTAGGCATAGAAGAGAGTCGTTTAGGTGGTCGATGGCGACTTGTCGGTCGCAGATCAGATAACGGTGACCGTCTATTGCAACTATTCGTAGACCGCAACCTATTTCTGGCTAGCACTAACTAGTGGCAGAGTCGTTGCCCGATGTGCCACCCGGCGTCCTCCCTCTACATCTCAGGCCTGGACTCAGATTGGTCACACGTCGATTATCTACTGCTCCTTTTGGAGTACCTACTCTGATCATACTCTTTTTTGAGCTAATCTTACCTTACAATTAAGTGGCAAACAAATTCATCGTCCTTAACTAATCGATATCGAAAATTGATTGCTGCTTCTGTTTGCAATTAAATATCAAACAGAGCTAGGTTCAAGGCTACCTATCATCCCACCGAAAAGTGTAGATAAGCACTAGTTGCAATTGCGTGACGCAATGAAAATGGCGAGTAAAGTCGCCTGCGGTTTCGCGAGACGTCCCGCTCCTGGTGACTGCGAGTGTGGCAATAGCCGAAGATTGTTTCGTAATGGAATTGTGCAAACCTCGTGTAAGGACCAAGAAACCTGTTGGTTGAAGCGTGCCAACGAGTTGAAATCTGCCGAATGCTCTTTCACTGGCAGCAAGACGTCTGGTGTGAGTGAAACAATCTGTGATGACGGAATGCTGGCCAGTAACATCTACTGACAGCTCGGACGATGGGCAGAGTTTTTTCGAGGAGCAGTTCAGTTGGTCTACTGCCCCGGCGACGTCGATCAGACTGTTCTGTCCTCCAAGGAACGTGATGACTGGTTCACCTAACAAAGAGGAAGTCGACCTTTTGGTTATGGAACTGACTGATTTGTTTACAATAAAGTGTTCATTTCGTTTCTGCAACAACAATCACAGGGATAGGTCTACTTCCGATCGCATCCAAACTATTGGCATCCGTCCTACTTCGTAGAATGTTCAAATCCCGAGAAAGATTGACTCGCAAGGATCAGGCTGCTTTTTTTATGCTCGAAGATGTATTGACCGTATCTTCACCCTCCGCCAAATGTTAGAACACCGTCATACTTATCACAAGCCAACAATTGTAGTTTTTCTTGACATTAGGTCCGCCTTCGATTCGTTGGACAAGGTTGTTCTCTGGTACTGTCTATTGAAGAAGGGTGTGCCTGAGAAGTTTATTAACATCCTAAAAGCCCTATATACAGACACCTCAGGCAGAGTGAGGGCATACAACCACCTCTCTCCATTGTTCCATTCAAGCAGTGAGGTTAGACAAGGTTGCCCAATCTCACCATTCCTCTTCAACTCTTCCACCGACGACATTCTGGAAACAGCTATGATGGATGTAAGTAGTGGTGGTGTGGATCTTTTACTAGAGAAAGACTTCTCGACCTTGAGTATGCAGATGACACTGTCTTACTGTGTGATGATACCCAGGTAGTTATGGTATGTGTTCTGCACCTTCTAAGTGCAGAGTACTTTTACAAGACTGACACAGCCCTGAACCTGCACTCAGCCTGGGTAGTGAGCAAATATAATCAGTCAAGAAGTTCGCGTATCTGCGTTGTTTCTGGTGATGGCGTGAGTAATGAGGTTAATTCACGTATAGTGAAAGCCAGAGCGGCTTATTCCAGTCTAGGTCATTTTCGCGCCTTCGTGATGTTAGTGTGGCTGTAAATGGTCGGATCTGCAATGCGTATATGATAAGAGGAACGAATGAAACTACTGATGATCAGTGTCTTTATCATGATTAAACATCTCTTACGGAAATTTTCCCGGTTTAGCAAACCTAGTATAGGTTAATGATTAATTAAATAAACTGAATGTTTAAGCCTTATACCAAACATGATCCAAGTTGTTTACTTCATCCAAATAACATCGGCTGTAATATAATTGTCAAGTAATCAACACTATCCTCATTACAATCGTTATGAAGATTTTTATAAGCAATTTCTGAGCTTTATTATAATATTCAGGAACTTTTTTCCTTTCTGACATACGTTTTTTATTTTGTAGTTTTGCGTACGTGTGCTGCTGGACAGACGTTCCCTTGTGGTTGTTAGTGGACCTGCACGATATATATGGCAACATGAAATTAGGCGTTCAGATATACCTATCCGACGTATTGCTATGACATTTCGTGAATTGAGTAGTACATTTTCCCCCGAATCAGGTAATATGACAGACGAACAAAAATTCGGTAAGAAACTCTTGGAAATCGCTTCCACATACCCTCATATGTGAAATAAAAAGATGAAATATATAACTGTGTTAATAACAACTAACAAATATAAACCCTTAAAGTTTTTCATTAAACTTAAACTTGACAAGCTACACTCACAAAATCATTCTATTGAAGAGGCGCACCAATGGTGATGAGGTTGTTTTATACAAATGGTAAAACAATCAATAAACTATATAATCTCTGTTCCTCATAACACTCAACTCTTTCGGTTACAGGATCATCAAGCTCCTATAAATTCTTTTAAGTTATGTTCAGTAATATTGTACTAACAGGAAAGCGATTCTTGAAAAACTCCATACAATGAAACCCAAATGACAAATGAACCAGCATAATATGAGTTATTTCATGCTTTCTCTTCAGTTGCCTACAATCGTATTCGTATCAAAGTGTAACATTGAGGTATAATAATAATAATAATACGGAATTATAGACATTGGCGACGGAATAGAAAAAAAAGCCCAGTTATTAGAAAATTCTATACGTTAAAATACACGCTCACATTAATTCATTGAGAAGTGTGTCAAAACATATGGATGTTTTAAGTATGATACAACATAGAAGAAAGCTTGCTTTGTATATCTTCGCTTTAATAAAGATGAAGTTACTGAAACAATTATTGACAAAGTAAATGGCACAATGAAAATCGCTCATTCAGTAACAAGATTATTCAACTTACATAAAGTAAACTGCTCCCTTGAAAAAAAAAAGTCGACAAGTCTTCTTCTCTCAGTACCTCCAACTACATATATCTATCTACGTCCAAAAGCGTATATACATATATATTCTCTAACACGTTTCAAAGAATGCGAGACTAAAACTATTCAGTATCTAATTGGTAGCAGGCAGAGTTCAAACTGGATTTGTTTCCAGACAGAGAAATATCAATCTACCACTGCCTTAGTAAATACATCTTTGTCAAGATCATCTACAATTATTGTATTTATTTTGTCATTCAATCTTTGCTAAACTAAATGTTATTTCATCTACGTTAAAATTATATTTTCATTCGCCTACTTCTTAATACTTATAAACACTCATATGATTTGGAAATGGTAGAGAAGATTTATAGCTCAAGTGGATGATTTTGATGAAGCTCTACGACCAAACCATTCAGCTCAGAGAACAAAACTCCGTCAACGGTTTCCGCACTTCATCTAGTTACTGTCATACTCTGTTTCTGAATTCCATCTTCACATGACCTCACGCATGCTTTATATATATATATATATATATATATATATATATATATATATATATATATTGCTATTTAAAACCATTGCTACTTCAATTCTCTCCGTCTGTAACTTTATATTATTATTGTGTCTTAATGTTACACTTTAATACGTATACAGTTATGAGCAGTTGAAGGTAAACCACGAAACAAAATGAATTCTTTGTTGTGCCTCAATTGTTGCTTTGACTTTTATTCAAATAATATTATCTTGATATTGTATTCTTAACACTGTAATTAAGTCATATTTCCCCCCATCACCACCACCAACTAATTCTGCTTATAATTTTGATCGTTTAATAATATAGGAACTTGTACATATAAATTAGATGCTCAGTAGTTGTCTTTACAATTTAAGGTTTTCTAACAACTTTATTTATGTAATCTTTCAGCTTAATTAAGAAAAGTAGAGAAATTTGATGATGATGATGATGATGATGATGATGAAGTAACGTAAAATATGATCTACTTAACACTTCTAGTGGATATTTAGAGTAGTAGTAGTAGTAATGGTAATCGGATATTAGTCTGTTGGACCGAGATTAAAATTTCTGAGACAATTAACCATACCTTCTTAAAACTCAAATGAACCACATCTCTATTCATATGTGAAGAATCTAGAAACTGTAAATTAATCCTTAAACTCCTTCAAAGGTAAATTATTTGAAAGATTATCAAATATCTACATTAATAAAATATTAGTTAATTGTTACTTTACAGTAAATTAAGATTTATGTATTACGGACAGTTATGAACTTACCATAAAATGTAAAATATCTGTCTTTCATATTCATTCTTAGTACTACTAATGTTTCATCTGAACATCAAGGTCTCACTACTATCTCCTTTTCAAAACAAGTCGGATATTTATCGAAAATTTATAGTCGAATACAGAGATGCTAAAAGAAATTATGGTGTTTCATCAAACTAAAGATAAATAATCAGTCCTTATAGGTTAAGGTGATATGCTAGTGGTTGTATAAAGCGTTTATGAAAAGGCTTTTATATATTTATTCCTAAATTAATGGCGGCTAGTTATTTCCATATACATGCATGATTTTAGCATTGTATTAACCAGTGAAATTCATGAATATCATCATTTTTATATGAATTCCTGACATAGTTTTATGCATACACAACTAATAATTCACAAATACCTATTTTACAACAGCCTACAGAAAAGTCTAATTAATTTTTAATCATAAGACAAGTGAATAATACATCAGAGTAGAATTATTTTCACTTTTATTCAGTTGGCAATCAGTGTCCGTAGGTATGATATGTGCTTTGCACCTTCGAAGTGCAAAGTATTTCTACAAGTCTGGCAAGATTCTAATCCTGTACTCACCCTAGATGGTGAGTAAATAGAAGTAGTCGAGAATGTCGTGTATCTAAGTAGCTGGTAGCGGCGTGAGTGACGAAATCAGTTCACGTATAATGAAAGCCAGAGAGGTTTATGCCAATCTGGGCCACCTTTGGCGCCTTCGTGATATCAGTCTGGTTGTTAAAGGTCGGATCTATAAAGCGTCGGTGAGAGCAGTTTTGGTCTATGCTTGTGAAGCCTGGCCTCCAGGTTGAGGATGTCAGACGGCTCTGTGTTTGGCCATCGTTGTCTCCGAAGGATTGCTGACATCCAGTGGCAACACCATGTTACTAATGCTGAGGTTCGGCATTGTGTGTTCGGACCCAGTGACGATAATCCTATTGGTGTCACCATCTTCGGTGGCTTGGACATGTTCTACGAATGTCGTCTCAGAGAATTCTACGTAGTGCATTATTTGCCGACTCTGGGACTTGTTGGAGAAAGTGGAGAGGTGGTCAGTGTATGACATGGTGTCGTGGAAAGCTGCAAAGGGCTGGCTGTTGGTCCTTCACGACTTCCTGGCTGGGGTCCGAGAGATGGTGCTACACAGTGGCTAGAGACATTACCAGATATGGCTCAGAATAGAAACCAGTGGCGATCCTGCTGTAACCTTCTACTCTATTCATAAAGTGGTCGTAACTTCCTTAAAAGAAAGACTTCTGGTTGTACCTTTCCACACACACCCCCCCACTATTATTATTAATATTACACTACCATACACTAATTTTTGGTCTTTATTGTTCCTTTTTTCTTATACGCACCTTACATCCTTTTCCTCTACTCATTGTTATTGTGTGGTGCACATATATCTGGTACCTCTGTTGTACCAATATTTGTGTTCAAAGAAATAATTATCAACTGAAATAGTAGACAATTTAGTTAAATGTATTTTATTTCTATTAATTGTAAGAAAGTTGTTTTTCTTAACAGTGTGTGTCCATTAAATAAGAACTTCAATAAAATCTTAAAGACAGTAATTGTTTAAGTAATTTATTAATTTGCGTGGATTTATACGCATTACAATGTCGCAACAGTTTATTAAAATCAGAAAAGTGAGGGCACAACCAGTCAGCTACAGCGTAGGACTGGGCACAAATATGCATCAGTCAAAGTCGCCATATATCATTAGCACAACAAGATGAACACCAAATTCATACAAGTAGTCACTTCAATGGTGGTAATATATAAAGCAAAGATTGCATATAATGATATGGTATAGAAAGAAATAGTTCGTACAAAGAAAGGTATAAAGCGATTTTAATCTCATGGTTTAAAGGAAGACAAAGAGTATATACACCTACGTCATTGTGATCGATTCTGAGCCATGTCACACAGTCTTCAATCATTGGTTACAATAGTCACGCGGACCCCAACCAAGTAGTCTGCAACTACCAACATGGCTAAGAGTAGAAGTTAGTGACTTCGAGAACTGATGCCACGTTTTGGTTTGGTCGCCCTTAACTTTCTCCCAACCATACTCAACACCAGTCAGTATTGCGCGTCGTGGGCACAATCACTAATATCTCTATTATTAACTAGTTAACAACGATACTTAATTACAAGTATCATACATCATTCGAGAAAATGTTAGTCTATTAATCAACATTAACTTAAAACTTATTACTTCAAATACTAATTTAAATAGTTAAAACGAAACGGATTGATGTAGGACAAAATTTCAATCACACAGTAGACAATATTAAAAGTATGGAGATAAACATCTGAAAGAATAAATAAGATCATTTTTAAATGGTTGTACGTATAACAGCTTTTTCTTCGAAAAAACACGACTTAAAGACATATACAGTATAGAAAGCGTGGAAATTGTTTACATATTTTCAACGTTAAGTTAAAACATGTACAAAGAGAGTTAAACATGTTTTCACGACATTATTATATTGTTCCATCAATAAGGTAAACATAATCTACATGAAGTTCCATCTTGCATGAATCATACCATTGAATTCGATTGACTGAGTCTGCGTACAAACTACAAAGTATTAATATTTTGTGGAAATACAAAGTATATGGGAGTAAATCAAGGTTGATAAAATATATTAGAAATAGTACGCACGGACCGAAGCAAAGCACTCACTAATTTAAAACAAAAATAGTACGACACGTGTCTCATGCAAAAAGAAATGACAATTTTCAGATGATTGAAGAGATACATTGCTAAACAACAGTGAACTATTCAACAGTTCCCATTTTGAGACATATCTAGTAATGTCATAAGCTAATTAAATGAATCGTAGTATGCTAATGGATCTTTACCCAACAGAGATATCCGTGGGTCAGCAGAAATACATCACGGAATCATTGTTTGTTCCTCACTAAATACGAGATCCAACAAATAACGCTCCGCATAGAAGTCACTGGAAGGTATGTGTGTTCAAGCCATTTTATCAATATTTAGATTTATTAGATCGCGATTTCAACTATGTGAAGAGTTTCAGTGCATCGAAAGCACAGCCTAGGCAGAACACACCGAAAGATGCAAATGGACGATTAAAGGGTAGGTATATATATTATGTAAATGCTTTGTAACTTCTCACATTAAAAATACATTCTTCCTGCCTATTAACGTGTTTTACACAGGTATTTTGCATCTTCTAACTGAAAATTACTTTCGTAAAATTGTCAGGACCCTGTTTCTAAACTCATTCTTCATGATGACCCGTTAAAAGTAATCAAATATGTGTATCTTGGTTGTTGTTGTGGTGATATGACAGATGAGATCGACCTAGATAGAATAGTGTCATCTTGATGTTAGTTTGGCTGTAAAAGGTCAGGTTGGCAACGCGTCAGTGAAACGTGACTTTTTTGAGTTGAGAATGTTCATTGTCTCCCTACTTCTGATCAACATTACATCCAAAAAATTATTCATACCAGACGCCAACCCCATGCCAGTAATGCTGAGGTTCAGTGATGTGTGTGTCGCGCACCGTGACGATAACTCAATTGGTGTTACTACTTTGAAGCACCTGCTTCGGTGGCTTGGACATATGTTCAGAATTTCATTACAGCAACATTCACATTTTGGATTATTTCTCGAACCTGGGACTGGTAAAAAGGACTGGACATACAAAAAGGAAAGAATATGTACGAGGAGATTTCAGGACTCAGATTCTAGAGAAAGACAAGGAGTGAGTGCACTTTCGTCTTTGCAAACAGTTCTGAGCGATGTCACCTAGTCTCTTACCATTGATTACGATAATCACGTGGACTCCGACTAGATAGTCTCCACTGTTAAGATGTCGACAACAGCCATATTAATAGATGTAGATGAAGTATAGAATAATAATAGTTGTCAACTGACAATGATGAAACAAAATGGATAATTTCAGTGTGACATGCTTTTGAACTGCTCGTTAGAGAAGCCCATGTTAATGACTAAATAGTTAAGTACACATCATATTCCGAAGCTGCTAGGTTTAGCAATCTATTAAGAAAAAAATATTAAGTTTGGACAAAGAGCCTATCTAGTAGTTTTCGATTTTTAGTCGAACTTTAACTAGTCAGCTGAAAATGGAAAATATTATGCTTCTTCTAAACGTTGACTTACTCCGTTGATCCCGGGAAGCCATAAGATCCAACCGATTACAGGAACACCATACAAAAATTTGATTGCCACTGGGATAAATTTACTATAAAATTAAAGTGTATATGATCATCATTTGACATAAACAAATTAGTATGTTACGGTTAGTATTGTATTAACACTTGGTACAAAGTTGACAGACAACAGGTAAGCAGGAAAGAAAAGCAGTAAGTGCTAGGATCTAAAAGCCAGATGCCTAGACGTAGCAATTGTAAGGAGTAGTTTCAGAGTCCAAGTAAGAATGCTAAGTCAAGCTAAAAGGCTGGCAACTCCTGTCATCAATGCCATGGTAGACAGAACAATCACTGCGATCAACTCGTGCTGGAGTTTTGATAGAAGACTTTTTGTCTTAAAACGCGTGTCTGGACCTCGTTCATCGTCTATTGGGGACAAATTTATGCTTTAGTGAACGCAGAAATATCGCATAAGGAGAACCTCATCAAACTCAGTTTGAAGGTAGGAATTTCAAGGACATGCTTGAGAAAACTAACTACACACTTAAAGTAGCATGAAAAGGATGGTTATCCTTAAGAAACCCGACATGATCTCAAAAAAGTTGTATGAACAGCATTGAGATTTGCTAGCGATCTAAATCAAAGGGTCGGGGAAAGATAAAGTCCAGTAGTCTCTAGTAAATATGTTTGGAAACCCATCCAAACAATTGACAAAAATTAATAAAACGCCAGGTCAGTGAACGTGAGAAGCGGTAGGGAATATAACCAAATAGAAAAGAACAGCGAAAAACGAAACTAGACAGTTGACGCGACACCACAGAGACAAAGATCGGAAGGTTGACGAAAAGTTTAAGTATGAGGAAATGAGACGAAACCGTGATTTATTCAGACCATATGACTAGGATGAGGGCCAAAATAAGTAGGGGGAAAGTTTGACTAACTATCATTTGACCATTAGTCATTAACAGTCTATACGTGAGATCTACATAAAGAGTTTAACACTTAACGAAGGGAAAAAGCCATTACCTAGTCTTAGGCAAGAGGAATAAGCAGGGTATAATGAATTGGCTCTAGAGGATTTTGATCATATTGGTAGGGCTGATAAGGATATTGAGTGCAGCTTGTAATCTGTGAGGCCGAAGATTTCACTCTGAACAAATGATTCTAACAGTTTTACCGATGGAAACTTACTGTGTTTGTATAGACTTCTAAGGGGTAACTTAACAATGTCCGTCTTTCAGCAGATTAACAGCTTAGTCATGTTAACCTCAATATTTAATTTGAGGTGGCTTTCGTGAATTCTAATATTGAATAGAAAACGAATTAATCCACTGACGTGACATTGATTTAACCTATCTAACAAAAGTAGAGCTTTGCACAAATGCTTCAGCTTTAACTGCCACTGCTCAACGACTAATAATGCATATATTTATTTGATCCCGTTTTGTAGTCTGAATTAAGTGAACAGAATTAGTTACATAATAGCAAGCGGTCATCATAGTTCCACGACTTTTCTCCACCTAAACAGCCCGAAACTCGAAAGCAATTTTTCAAAGCACATAAACATACTAAGCGACCTGAATGCGAGGTTCAGTCAATGACAATAAAAAGTAACAAAATGAATGAATAGTATAAAGTTTAAAATAATAATACACCTACGGCCTTTGCCAACTAACGTCACTTAGACACTCCTTATCATGTCAAACAGATTAGGGGTAACGTTAAGTGTTTGATTTCCCTAAATCTTGCAACCAAACAAGAAATGACTAAATAATTTAAGGAATCGAAGATTTAGATGGCTATATTAAAGTGAACCTTTATACGTGTTTAAGCTTAAATATAAAGCTAACAAGCACCACCAGCTATAAAATAAGTTTTTGATCAAAAATTTGTTCATTGCAAAACCTAATTGTCGATCGTAATAAGAATAAACGCGCAAAACCCACAACTTGGAGGTTATTTCCCGCACTATTACCTGAATAAATTTATCATTCCATAAATTTCCAACAGCATTCCTATGAAAGGGAAGCCAAAGAGGACAACGGATATGCCCCCGAAGAAGAAAACTGCTCCTTTCAAACTCGTACGGCGAAAAAAGAATGTGCAAGCCTTCTGCAATCCAATAAGACATCCTATTCCGCCTAAGAAAAGAACCTTGAAGGAGCAGTCTAGAATTTTATTGAACACTTACATTACCTAGAGCCAATAGAGCACCGTCGAAGAAAAATAGAACACCAAGACAAAGAAAACCCACTCCAAAAGCAAGCAAACCTAGGCCGATCTCTAAGAAGAAATAAAAATGATGATAAAGCTACTCTGAAAATCTGAAGAGTTATTATAACCCAGCATTCTAAACGAACCAAAGAAATGCTCAGTCGGTTTACACAACTGAACGTGGATATAGCCTCTAAGAGGCCGCTACTATCAACTCAACCTTGAAAACATATAATGTCTCCTGCAAAACAAAACGTTTATTCCTTGCGGACAAGTTAGCGCTGCTCGGATAATTTACTTAATCAAGCCTGACAAAAGACGGCTTTCTGAAAAGAAGTAAACAAATAAAAGATAGATGTCATTATGGCCGTTCAAACAGCAGGTCAACTCGTATTTTTTCAACTAATGAGTATGACTTTATAAAAAAGAATGGATGGTGTCTATCAGTAGAATCCAAGCTTCTCGTTTCTTCTTATTTAAGATCTATCAGATGAATGTACCTGCGTCTCAGGGTTAATCCTAATTATGGGACTCCAATCCATTGCCGTTTGCTTAATTCACTTAGCTACTGAGTCCTGATATCCACCTGCTTGTGTAATGCGGTGAGGTTTAAATTCACATGGTGTTGTTTGTTTTCATCTTCCAATCGTTGTAAAGAACTGAAATTGATCAGTATCTTGTTGGCATTTGTGCACCCTGTGCGGATTGCCTCGATATTATCTCAAGGACTAAGTAGATAAATCGATGGCGTTTGAAGCGAACGGTGCGCGGTTCGATTCTCAGAGTGAACGTCAGTTCTAAGATGCATTTACATCCAACTGAAGAGTCTCAAATAGGATCAAACGCGATTTTTAAATTCCACTGCTAGCCATCATCAGCCATTGCCAATAAAGCTTGTGTCTCACGACATCGACGTGATCCGCACAGGATTCACAATTGCCGATAGGTGACTGACCAATTGCAGTCCTAAGCAAAAACAAAGAATACACGAATAACCAACACCAAGTGAAGGTACTTGATATAGCTTTGTTATGCATTTCAGTCATGAAACAAGCCATAAGATATTGGAATTGACTAATCAGCCCTATATTTATTCGGAAAATTATTATGAAGGATAAAACTATATGAAATGCATTACAAAACATACAATATGAGGATAAGTTGTCGAAAATCTTGATCTTAAATAGATCTGAAATTCCAACGTTTAAATACTCATAATATGTATGCAGATCAAAGCCTTGTAATATAAATCTCCCATAAGTGGAATATTCAATTTACTACGGTCAACTAATTATTCAAAATAATAAGCGTTAAACGTACGTAAAAGTAAGACATCACGATAACCGCTCAAACAGGTCACATCGTGTTTTCCAAACTAATAATTATAGCTATGTTAAGTAGATTTCTGTGCGTTGTTTGGAAGTTGAAACCACTACAGGTGTGATATCTGAGTTACGAATCTTCGTAAACAAACACACATAACAGAAAAACATGAGTTTCATCTTCCTTAGTACACGTCTGAACACATGACCCAGGCACAGATGAATCCTTATCGGTACACCTTTACATTACAATAATAACATCACAGAGTACTGATTAAGGAGACCACAAATAATCCAGTTTAGAGGTACTATTGAAAATACAGTAGACTTACTGAGCCCCGACAAACATTTGGCACACACGATTGAACACGTTGGAATTCGTGGTTTATGCCATCCACCACATCAGTTGTCGGTAATGTGAAAGTTAAATAAGTGGCACCACTCAAATTGACAGTCACCAATCGATCACCCCACAACCATGAATCATCATAGTGCGGTACAATACAGGCTCCACGATCTGATTTATACTCCAGGTTGCACAACTCCACTGGGAGAAATTCAGAGCGAAGAGATTTGCTCTCTCTAATCAAGTCATTGTAACGTGTTATGAGGAACCTAGAATATGCTGGCAGACCAGCAAATCCTCCAATGTGCACCTTCCGTCGTTTAAAATTCACTTTTGGTCCATAATCCTAAAACAACATTTGGCAACAAACTCATATGAACAGACTGAATGTTAACATTTCAATGCAGCAACATCACATTAAGAAAAATATTGACAACATTGTTGGCTGAAACATAGCAGAACCTGTTGCGTGAACCCATCGACTTAATTAGCTGGCTTCGGAACCACAGATAGAGAGGAGATTAATAACGACAAAATAACACGATAAAGAGGTGATAAGAAGAGCAGATATATTTATCAGAACAAGACGTGAAGAATTAACACTAAAAAATATTCTGTTGAGGAGTAAGAACACAAAATTATCCTTAACCTTTGTTACTTGGGAATTAAAAGAACCAATCAACTTTGTTGGTCGAGAAGACATTGGAGTAGGAGTACGTCAGAAGGAAGCTAAGAACAGTCTAACTGATCTGTACAAGCATTCACTGTTTGTGATTACAAAAGCGCACTGAAGAAGTATGTAGAAATCCCGAAGTCGTTTTACCCACAGACAATTGGTCGGATCACAGCTCATGCCGAATTGTTAACTTCAAGTGTTCATCAAGCTTACCTACTATCCCATTTTTCGAAAACTCATTTCGTAACAGATGACCTCTTACAAGTCTCAATTTCCTCATGAAACTTTTCAGTGATTGACCTCGTTTCTGGAAATGCAACAACCAACATCAATGGCACAGATGGAACAATACAATAGATTGAAGACACTGGCGCAATTCATAGTTGTTTGAAGACCATGAACAATACCGTAGGCATTTTTGGATGTGGTTTTCTTTCGAAGAACAGGATGTTGCTTCACGATTGGCCTGTGTTATTGCCTAGACTGAATATGTGGCACTACAGTAGTTGCGTCGATCACTTCAGTAGGACGTTTTATCAACCCGAGTGGATTGGCGTCTGACCAATTCTGCAGATCGATCTAGAAATCCCACTTGGTTTTGACAAATTGCGTCACTTGTGGCGTAAGTAAAATATCCGGCTAAAAACGAAGGGACGTGGTTATTGAACAGGAATCCATATGCGAGGAGGAACATGGTCCACGAAAGTAGAAGAAATGTGCGAACCGCAGACTGTGATCACAAGTGTCTTCGAAGCATTGTCCGCGTATGTTGGAATCACAGAGTAAGCAGTATTGAGGTTGCGAATAGGGCACTAGACTAAGACTAAGACTCTGCCTGCTACCAATTAGATACTGAATAGTTTTAGTCTCGCATTCTTTGAAACGTGTTAGAGAATATATATGTATATACGCTTTTGGACGTAGATAGATAAATGTAATTGGAGGTACTGAGAGAAGAAGACTTGTCGACTTTTTTTTCAAGGGAGCAGTTTACTTTATGTAAGTTGAATAATCTTGTTACTGAATGAGCGATTTTCATTGTGCCATTTATTTTGTCAATAATTGTTTCAGTAACTTCATCTTTATTAAAGTGAAGATATACAAAGTAAGCTTTCTTCTATGTTGTATCATACTTAAAACATCCATATGTTTTGACACACTTCTCAATGAATTAATGTGAGCGTGTATTTTAACGTATAGAATTTTCTAATAACTGGGCTTTTTTTTTCTATTCCGTCGCCAATGTCTATAATTTCGTATTATTATTATTATACCTCAATGTTACACTTTGATACGAATACGATTGTAGGCAACTGAAGAGAAAGCATGAAATAACTCATATTATGCTGGTTCATTCGTCATTTGGGTTTCATTGTATGGAGTTTTTCAAGAATCGCTTTCCTGTTAGTACAATATTACTGAACATAACTTAAAAGAATTTATAGGAGCTTGATGATCCTGTAACCGAAAGAGTTGAGTGTAAAATCGGCTAACGAGACTGTAAATTCTCGTCACCTGAGGTGGCTGGGACCTGTATTAGTTATGTTCAACAACCACTTACCTCGACGTGCAAAGTTTGGTGGAATAACAGTAATTCAGAATGAAGCTAAGGGCCGTTTAACTAATCTATACAGTCATCCACTGTTCATCTCATCTATGTTGGTCTGTGTATACTACCTGGTTGTGGCCCCTACAATAACTGACATTAGTGATTGGGTGATATGTCTCAGAATTAGCAGTCCTTGTGGGGCAGATGCAATCATCCTTTATCTTCCCCCAGACTCCTAGTTTCAGTATGCGTTCATGCATACCGTTCCATCCCTCTAATCGGACCACATTGAGAATGTTTGTTGCAGAGTGTCATTTAACTTGTCACTTTCATCTTTATTTCATCCAAGTAGTACTAATAACATTTACCATAGGGATGCATCTCCCATAGACGTCGACCCACCAACGAAGGAAGAAATCAGAATGGCCGTCAGACAAATCAAGAACGGGAAAGCAGCGGGTCCGGACAACATACCAGCTGAAGCACTGAAGTCAGACATCGAAGCAACTACAAAAATGCTTCACCTTCTATTCAAAAAGATTTGGGAAGAGGAACGAGTGCCGATGGACTGGAAAGAAGGGCACCTCGTCAAGATTCCAAAGAAAGGAGATCTGAGCAAATGCGAGAACTATAGAGGCATTACACTGCTGTCAATACCAGGGAAGGTCTTCAACAGAGTGTTGCTGAACCGGATGAAAGATGCAGTAGACGCCCAACTTTGAGATCAACAAGCTGGATTCCGTAAGGATCGATCATGCACAGACCAAATTGCAACACTACGGATCATCGTCGAACAATCAGTTGAGTGGAACTCATCACTATACATCAACTTCATTGATTATGAAAAAGCATTCGACAGTGTAGATAGGACATTATGGAAACTTCTTCGACACTACGGAGTTCCTGAGAAGATTGTCAACATTATCCGGAACTCATACGACGGACTACAGTGTAAAGTCGTGCATGGAGGACAGCTGACAGATGCATTCCAAGTAAGGACCGGAGTCAGACAAGGCTGTTTACTCTCTCCCTTCCTCTTTCTTCTGGTGGTCGACTGGATTATGAAGACCTCGACATCTGAAGGAAAACACGGAATACAATAGACAGCTCAAAATCAATTAGACGATTTGGACTTCGCAGATGACCTAGCCCTCTTATCGCATACACACGAACAGATGCAGATGAAGACAGCCAGTGTAGCAGCAGTCTCTGCATCAGTAGGCCTCAGTATACACAAAGGGAAAACCAAAGTCCTCAAATTCAAACAACAATCCAATCACTCTTGATGGCGAAACTCTGGAAAATGTAGAGTCCTTCACATACATAGAAAGCATCATCGATGAACAAGGAGGTAAGGATGCAGACGTAAAGGCAAGGATTGTCAAAGCAAGGACAGCATTCCTACAGTTAAAGAACATATGGAACTGAAAACAACTTTCAACTAATATCAAAGTGAGAATCTTCAATACCAACGTCAAAACAGTTCTACTGTATGGAGCTGAAACTTGGAGAACTACAACAACCACCATCAAGAAGGTACAAGTATTTATAAATAGTTGTCTACGCAAGATACTCAACATCCATTGGCCGGATACCATCAGCAATAGCCTTCTGTGGGAGAGAACAAACCAACTTCCAGCTGAAGAAGAAATTAAGAAAAGACGATGGAAATGGATAGAACATACATTACGCAAATCGTCAAACTGCATCACGAGGCAAGCCCTAACTTGGAATCCTGAAGGGAAGCGAAAAAGAGGAAGGCCAAAGAACACATTGCGTCGGATAATAGAAGCAGATATGAAAACGATGAATTACAACTGGACGGAGCTAGAAAGGATTGCCCAGGACAGGGTTGGATGGAGAATGCTGGTGAGCGGCCTATGCTCCTTCACGAGGAGTAACAGGCGTAACTAAGTAAGTAACTATAGGGCTGCATCACTTAAGGACGCTCCACTGCCTTGTGGATTATACATTTAGTCTTATGTCTCATGAAGTGGTCTTCTACCACCTTCTTCGACATGAGCGATCAGGCAGTACCCCAGTCTTCAAGTGTATTGTGCGACGCATATATTTTAAGTGCCTATTTGTACCAATGTTTGTACTGAAATAAAGAAATGAGCTCACTATTAGGTGTCTTCGGTTGAATGTAATCAACTTGAACAGTTACCTGTATATCAAAGATACAACAGTTACGTACTAATAAAGTATGTTTTCTGTAACCCTAATGAACTACTATTTTACGGAATATTTTGCAAGGTACGGGTAATCATTTGATTCATTGAAACTTGACTTACTTGTTTTCCGACGAACTGGCGAAGTACCTCTCTAGCTTCAAACACATAAGGTATGTCGTAAAGCGGACGAATACGACCACGTTGGACAGAAGAATCGTCTTCCTTGCTGCTGGTCTGTGGTCGTGGAGCTCTTATGCTGGATAGAAAGAATTTATGGACACCATCTGAACACTTGATAGAGACGTTATCACCGTTTCCGACTTCACATATCTGAAAAAAATACACATAGATCCAAGTCTTTTCAGCTAAGAACAGTGAGTCCTAGGTACTAAAATTAAGTCCAACCTGAAAGAGGCTCCGAAATAACATGTTCACAATACCATAGTTTGAAATGACATGACAGAACTGACACTGGTGCAGTAATTTTTTCACTAGAATACACAGATAGTTAAGATTAGCACAATTTTCATGGTTAAAAAAAACGATTGACAGCCTAAGTCGTTATTTACTTAAACTCGTAATCTACATCGCCATGTGCAAAAATATCCTAAAATGAAGGGGAGAATATGACATCGCACGATGGTGGCTGAGGTGCCAAGAGGGAACCAAAATAACGTTATCCCTATAACCAAGGTCCATTTAGCTTCAGATTACTCTCAGTAGATACACACAAATCAAATTATCTGTGTGGCGCATATATATTTGGTGCTCACTTTCACCAATATGTGTCCAAATAAATAAACAAATAAAATAACAAATAAAGTTGGACGAGCACTCACAATTCCACTGAATATTTTCCCCGGAACAACTGTTTGAAGACTGTCTGCATGTACTTCCGTTGTTTGTGTGGGCTGGTAGTTTTCAAACACGCGTAGTCGCTTTTCTTTCGCAAGTCTTTCAGCTATTTTATAGGCTTCAGCAGCACCTGGGACGCTTACTAAGTTTAGATTCCAATCAATACAGTGAGCAAGACCATGACGCAGCAACAACTCAGCTATATTTCCATTTGGGTGAAGGATGCTTCCGACGAAAGTTTGATTAAATACGGATTCCAACAGTATAGTAACGTCTCTCTGTAGTAGTCTGGATTCGGTAAAGAATAGCGCATCGAGACCCCACGCGTCGGGAACCTATAAACCATGAAACAATGATATGCTAACTCACAATTTTTCCATCCTCATAACGTATCGATGGCGATTTAATCCCTGACATTGTGACAGTAACATATACAAATGTATTTGGCTTTTCATTAAGGGATTCAGGTAGAATGAAGACTTGTACAGAACAACCATCTCGAACGTTTTCGACAACAGCTTTAAGTGGTCGGTTTTTGTAGCTCTCAAAAAAGCTGCGAGTATTTTCGACTGACCAAAGAATTTCTCTTGTAACAGGGAGGTTGGGAGACCAACGACCCTTACCAAGTGACTTTGCCTGTTCTCGAGCAATTACTGGTTGCTTTTAAACGATCTACTGTGAAATGTTTACACCTTTGAGTTAAGCTTCTATCTGTCAATGAGGCTGTTTCACTATCCCGTTTGTTTGTGTGTTGTAGGCTGTCGTTCGGAATTGCGTTATTCTTAAGAGTGTTGACATGCAACGGAAAAGCTCAGATTCAAAATCGTGTCCACGGTCTGTTGTGACAGTTGAAAGACAGACGAATTTTGCCAGGTTTGTCAGGTTTCACTGCTTCAGCAGTAATGCATTTGATATGTACTACTCTTAGTCATCATGTGAAGCAATCTACACGCGTTAATAAATAAGAGTATGCATTTCAATCTAGTTAAGGTTCTACCAAATCCAGCTGAACGTGATCAATACGAGCGTCGGAGGTTTCGCAAGAGACTAAGGGACATTTGTTTTGTCTAATTACCTAAGATTTCCAGTAGTATACAAAAGAGTGCACCCGCTTACTGACGTCATAATTCATGTGAGGTCGGCGTAATCGTTCTGCGATGCGCTTGGTGGTTGCTTGAACATCTGTGTAAAAACGATTGTGCAACGTATTAAAGACGTTGCGTTGATAAATTTTCGTCACGACTGGACGATCCTCACCTATAGATGAACCACATAGTAGACTTTTCTTACTCACTCTAATCTGTTTGATCTACAGTTTTAGGTTTGTCTAAGATAACTCGTGCTGAATATATGTGTCTTCATTTTGAAGCTGGGCGAGTTCTAGAAGTTCCACCTCATGAAAACTGTTCAAGGAATTTATAAAGATAAGGTGTCGGACACTACTTTGTCCATCCTAGAAATGTGTTGTATACCTGAAGTAAATCACGAAGTACAGCCGAGTTGTCGCGACTCTAGAGGGTAATACTTGTTTGCAGACGAGCTAGGAGGGAGGTTGAGAGATTTATGGTCAGTGAACGGAGTGAATTCTCGGACTGCCACAAAATCCTGAAAGTGCAGCACAGCACAATGAAGGCTAGGAGTTCCCTAACAAATGTTTTATACCTCGATCCATTGTCTTGCAACTTTCTTCAGAAGAATGTTAAATGTTGCCAGGTGTAGTTTAGCCATTGCTATGAAACTCCTCTGGTCTCCGAGTCGGATGCTTCCGTGATGATATTAGTAGCACTTTAATGTCCTGGTGTACGATCATAGTTGCTCTTGTGATAATTTTCTTGGCTGTGAAGAGCAACGTTTTCGTGTTGTCGTTCAAATGGATGTTTTTCGCATTTTCACGAAGTTGATCTGCTGAGAATCTTTTGAGGGACTCGCAGTTCAGTGCGAAGCATCGACGAAAATTTACCAGGTCATCAAACCTGCGCGACTGCTTGACTGGAGTCGGTTCCGAATTACCTAGAATGATTTCCACCTTGCTTTTCAGAGGTCAAATGCCTTCAATATCAAAAATTTGTCCGAGAATATCAATGAAGTCAGTTCCAATTTGACATTCCTGGGTGTTTACAGTCATGCTGTGTTTGTGCAGCAGTTCAGAAACTTGGTTTAGATGCTGGAGACGAATTCTGTGTCTAGACTTGCGGTTAAACAGTCACATATATATGCATTTGTAAAAGTTCGTGAAGTGATAGCGGCTTTATGAGTGTCATTGACTGTCATAAGAATTTCGTTATGTGCATTAATCAGATTGGTTCTCGAGACACCGACTGTCTTTTTTAAGATAGCTGTCAAATCGTGAATGTGAGACAACGGATAACGAACGAGAGTGGTATTCGCATTCAGTGGCCAAGTGTCATCAGTTGGACGTAATCATTGCTGCCCTTTTTAAGGACCATATACAGAGAGATGCTCATGGGCAGTCTGATGGCTGAATAATTCACAAATCTCTCATGTGCTAGAATACGTCTGTGGCCGACCCTAGGTTTTTGGAAGCTATTCGGTGCGGTTTCTAGAATACAGGTTGTCCTGTAGTCGTGATGAGATATGCAATATCGCCAGTCACATAAGATAACTTTATTGGCGTGTGGTATTGTTCAGGGTTCTTACTAAGTATCAGTTGATAGAATAGGTTGATTATGTGCTTAACAGTGAGTGTGAATAATGTAGAACTAGAGGATCAGTTTGCACAAACAGATAATTTATTATTACCATCTACTAACCTCCGTTTGCATGTGTCGATTATTAGATATAGTGTTGTAGCAGGTCTATACCAATGATTTTCATAGAAACATCTGCAACAACGCAAGTCAAGTGCATGAGTTTGTGTAAACCCATGTTAGTATACACATATCGCCTACTGTAAGTAGCAATCGGTTTCCCATTTGCTGGTTCGTACAGTCAATTGTAAGGATTCACAGGAAGAACATCAACAAATGCACCAGCGTTTACGAGATAGCAAAATGTTTTTGTCACGTCAGTGATGCCTAAAAGACAACTGTGTTCGCTGCTTACGGTTGCCGTTGGCATGTGTCGTCAGGGAATTTTCCCGAGAGGGTTTACGTGATGGACGATGTGGGAAATTGTGAGGTTTTCTGCAATTTCTAGGGAGTCTACCATACTTATTGCTATGCAAACACTAATAAGGATGATCTGTTCCTCGTATTCCAGTTACAGATCTTTTTCGTGAAGAGCTTCTTTGAGGAGTTCGGGAACGTTTACTGTTATGATGGATATTAAAAAAACGAGTAAGAATATAATAGTGGTCTGTAACACCGTTTTGTGCTGTTTGAGTCTTCTCCTTGCGCAATACATTACAAACAATCAGATCACACATATACTTGTTAAAAACATTTTTATATGAAAATTAAAAGGTCCGCTAGACAGGTTAAAGGTAAGCCATAACAAAGAAAAAATATTAAAGCACACAGAAATAATGTGATTGCCACTCTGGATAATAAATCAGTACTACCAGGGTGGGTTAAGTGTAAGGACGAATTGTTTTTGAACACATAAAGTGTTTTCGATTTCCGTATGGCCAAGGCTTCAATAAACCTTAGTATACGTCCTTGACGGTTTTTGTGTAACACTACAAATGCTGATTTCATGTCAACCTTATGACCAGTCTCGATCAAATGTTTCTCTTTTGTTATGACGGGATAAGATTGATTTACTCATTACGAGTTTTATTCAACATTAATTCTGTTTAATTCAATTCAGTGATCACTCGGTATAGTACTTGTTTCGTTTAACCTTATGTCATTTTATTCTATATAACATAAGACATTCTTATATGAATTACTCTTCACATTTGTAATTTATTCTAATTATTAACCAAAAATGGGTGTACAAACCAGTATATAATTGAGTGTATTTCCGAATAGACTGGTCCAGATTGCTCGTGCTTCTGGTTGCTTGCAGAATATATTTTCCCGTTTTAATTTTGGACTTCTCTCTCTTGTTAGCGGGGCTGGGACGCATCAGAATAGCTAGCTTATTGGTTTTTGGTCACAGAGTTTTTGTTGCGTTCACAGACTAGATGAACTCGTATTCACTTCAAACATAGCAAACATAGCTTTTCCTTTGACATGATGAACCTCACCGTCGAGGGTTATTTTGATTTCCGGTATCCGTTCGGTAGATGCAACCAGCTAACCTACAGCGTTATTTTGAAATGAGATGAGGAGTACATGCACCTGTTATGGAAGCTAAGACAGAAAGAGCTGTTTAAACAGGTCCTTGTCAAACGTCCATCGGTCTGTTTGGACGTTTAGCAACACAATCATGTATTCAAATCGTTAGTATAAACAGTCGAGTGGATCTCCTACAAACTGAAAACATCACTGTCGAATCTACCCCAACATTGACAAAGGTTCAGGCCGTCACCATGGAAATGAGTTAAGAATGTATTCTCACTGGTTGTAACTTGTGTTCTCTCTGGTAATCACATGAGCATCACTCAGTTGTTATCATATTGTAGGGATTTATTTATCCGGAAGCACTGTACAACACCACAGTGTCTAGATTTGCGGCACATAGGCTTGGTTGATCTCAACATTTCCTAATCACTATATTGGTAACAATTCGTTTTCTAACTTATGCGAAACTCAATACTTGCAACTAACTTGTATGCACCATCGGCCGGTAGATATGAATATAAATAAAATTTAGTCTAGAACATGTCTCTCACGAATGCACCCATGTTTATTGAATTTCTTTTAGCTATCTGTTCAAAATGCACACAACTGTCATTATTTTCACGTGGAAGAACTTTCGACAACTATTCATATGTATTAGTAGTATTACTAAATTTTATGAGGTCGATGAAATCTCGTAACTAAGTAAACCCTATAAAACATGACAAATTATCTGGAACACTGGTTAGGATTCTTTTTTCCATGGCTATGCTTTTGTTCTTTCAGTTAGCCTACTAATGCAGAAGCAATTGGAAATCAACTCATGCGGACAGTTTACTAGCATGATCGTTAGCTGACTTTATGATTTAAGCCAAAAATAATACCAATATTAACAGTTGTTCTTATATTTCTAAACACAGAATACGTGAACTACCTACAAGCTATTAACCAAAGGCTATTACTACGCATTTAAGGAGACTTATTAAAATATATCTACGCGGAAACATTCTTAATTATTATAATCCCACTTTGTCCGGCTCAAATAATTTTGACCTAAATTTACAATTGCGCACGTCAAGAATTAAACCAGTTCTTTTCTGATTTATCTTTGAGCTTATCAATACCCGGTAGATTCTTATTATTCTTGGTAACCTCCGACGTGCGAAAATCCTATTTGATTTGTTATCGAACCAACCTCACGTTGATTCTAGTCGGAGAGTAGTGTAATGGTATTGGGCTCTAACCACAGTCCCCATAGCTGAACAGGAGATAACTAGGAAAATAGGCTTTCATCGTGTAACACTAAGAGAAGGACAATAATGACGGACATGGGTGTAACGACCGAACAGTCAGTATTCGGTTTGAATGCGGGACCGACGATCCAAAATGTATTGGAATAGGCCAGACTACGTTCTTCTATATAGCGTACCAAGTGTTTTTGAGAAACTCGCATTAAATTATGTCAAAATACAAACTCTGTGCTCAATATAAACGGTTCTAATTAAGGAAGTAGAATAAATTATAACAAAAATACAAAATACCTCGAACAGTACGGCCTATACTATACGGTCAGAAGTATCTCTAACGCAAAGTAGCGTGATAAACAATAAAAGAAACAGTTAATACCAAAGGGCTCGATACCTGAGAATCAATAAAAATATTACAACATGATGGAATCAAATATCTATCTGCATGGATTCTGGTTATATATATATATATATATATATATATATATATATATATATATATATACAGAAAACAAAGCAGGTTTACGAAACAGTCTTATGAGTCATCCTGTAGATTCATTGCATGCAGAGCTTCTTCTTCTTCTTCCAAGGCATTTATTCGTGGTCGCACGGCAGTAGAAAGAAAAACAGAATCAATTAACATCACCATATATGGTGATTTTAACCTCGTAACACAGCCACAATCTGGACCACACCGTAATCTTGAGCTTAGTCAAACACGACCTTACTTTCAATAGTCTGGCAACATACGATAGAAAGTTAGGTAACAAAAGATAGGTCTTTAATCAAAATCAAATTATAAAAGTTCAGACGAGGAAGACTGAAGTACAAAAAGTTTGGTTAAACGAGGTCTGAACAAAGATTAAAATACACGACAGGAAGAAACAAATAAATGACAGTACTGTTCAACAACAAAGCTGCGGAGGGATCTTGTAGTGGCATTGGACCATAACCACACTATCCTCAAAGCTGAATACGAGATTACTCGGAAAATAGGTATTCAATATTTAACGCGAAGAAATACCTAACGATGGAGAAGGCGCGAATAAGGAATTGAATAAATTAGAGTTGGTCGAACGGCATGGCTCGGCCATGCAGGCGTGGTCTGTGCTGGATGTTACCTTATATCTTCTATTCATATTAAATATATTGTTCCTTCTCTAGCCTAACCTTGTTCTACATCCTATATTGGTAATTGATACGATAAAATGAGTTGGTGTAGTGGATGATGTGACTTCCACGTAAGATCTTATAGATTAGGCAGTTATATCATGACAAATCTACAATTTTAGGATTAGGTCTATTATTAGAGCAGTACTAATATCATAGTAGACCATAGTTCTACAATCTTGATCGTTCTCTCTTCTTTACAATGGGAACATTCTTTCGAAACGCAAGTCAATCGGCGGCATCGCTCAGCCTTGCAGGAGTGGTCATTCTGTATGACGTTTTTATTCATAATAAATAAGTTGTTTTGTCTCCAGCCTAAATGTGTTATCCGCCATATATTGGTGATTGTTGTGATACGATGAGTCAGTGAAGACAGCAATGTGACTTCCACATAAGTTCTTGTAGATTAGGCAGTTCCATCACGACAAATCTGCTATTTTAGGATCAGGTCTATTATTGGAGCAGTACTAATATTTTTAGGTTCTAAAACATCACAAGTAAGCATACTAGGTGTGACGTACCCGTTGAAATTGCGCGGTCTTACTTTCAATACTGTGAGAAGTTGTGCACATGAGTCAGTCACATCGTGCTCATGGAAGTCAGCTTCTGCGTAACAGAAAGAGGCTTCTATATTATCGGGCAAGAACAGCATTAGCTGAATGGTGGGAGGTGAAAGATGTTTGTTTTTAAGTAACTCGAGTTTCTGTTGCATAATGATGAAGATATTATGTACCGAAGGGCGGGAAAAAACTGCAAATAAATATGAATACATTAACTTAATAGGTGCAAGATCCAAACTACTTTTGGACAGCTGTCTGGATAAGTTAGATACGCGCCCTCGCCCGTTTGAAACCAAAACAAAGTAATTGGGTAAGATAGCGGTTCTATAATTCATCATAACTTTAAGTGTACATTATTACCTAAACAAATATAACCACTCAGTTATCCAACCAATAATTGTTCAATTGATCAAATCTAAATTGCAATAAATAAGAAAGTTGATAAAGGATGTAAGAAAATTACCAATCACAACAAATAAATGTTATTCTATCCTGTCTGGATAGACCACACACAGATTCGTTCAAAAGGTGATAATTGGTCGCTTTATGACACAGAGTGTTTCCAATTCTGGAAGTGTGCCTCAATTCACAATCAGAAATGCACAATTACAGTCAACACAGGTAAAGCAATCAAAAGGAGGAAAAAACCAATATGGCTGCCGCCAAGACCAAGTGTAAAGTAAAACAACATAAGTGCAGTTCGGGTAGAAACATGGGGAATTAGTGAAGGTGTAATAAAAATAAAACTATAATAAAATACAAATATTAACAACTCAAATGTAATCAAAAACTAACAATGTACAACTAAAGGTATCAATAGGAACAAATTGCAAGTATGTACATGGAGGGATTTTCACAAACACACAAGGCATTCAAAATGGATCTTACAATAGGTAAAAATAAAATTTGAAGAAATGTTGTGTAGTGTTTCAACAAGGAACAGATTCACATTTTTCGGTTTGGTTTGCCAGATCACGTCGGCCTTATCACTAAAGCTGCCACAGCTATTTGGATTTTGACAACGCTTTTACACGTAACAGCTTTATGATTAAACTGTTCCAACCCAGTCAAACCAGAAGTCAGAAATGAAGGGGTTCAAAGATATACTTGAAGGGTTATCTGGAAGCTTTTAATCTAAGCTGGCTAACAGTTGACAGAGTTGCATGGCATGGAGTACCCATTCGTGATCTGACGCGGGTTAGTGACCCAGCACCTTCAGCTAGATGTATCCAGTGCAACTAATGAGGTTATCATCAATGTCGAAAAATTAAAGAACTATTTATTTCGGGGACTTATCGCTACATGCTAATTAACTTGCGTCAATTGAACTAAAATATAATTTTCTTAAACTCTAACTTATCATCGGATCACCACTGACATACATGTGTCACCGACGACCAGAAATAAGGATGGCCAACCAAGATATCGAAAAGTGAAAATCGTAATAACTGTGGGAACTACAGAAGCACCATACTACTGCCAATAACATGCATGGTTTTCAACATAGTATGGGTGAGTCGCATGAAAGTTGTGGTAGACCTTCAACTCCGAAATCGATAAGGAGGCTTTCGTAATGACTGTGGGCTGTAGACCAAACTGCGATACTTCTGTTTGTTGTTGACCACGTGAATGGATGTACTCATCAACTTCCTTGATTATAAAAAATGTTCGACAATATTATTCAATTCGTTCTAGGAGTAATCGTGCCTTGTATCCCGCGTTGAAATAGATATGGAAGTATTAGCATGCTATGATCTACATCACTGTGCCGGCTTGGACAAAAATACCTTCGGAGCATACCGTAATCTGGTATCCTAGGTATGTGTCTTGCAAGTTTAGATCAGCACTTTTTACCCAGTTTTTAATACTTCTATCCACCAAAATTTAAGGTATTGAAAAAACGTTTCTTCCTCCACTAAAGGGATAAGAATACTCCGGACAATATATAGTGGCGAGCTGCGAAATCAGAGTAAACTCAAATTCAAGTTTGGTGAATAGTCCCTTGAGTCATCGGATCATTACCCATTAAAATCTTGAGGACTCGATAGCGGCCATTCAATGCCATTTAACATTCTAAATACTTCTTAGTGTCCTACCAAATACCCACTTATGCTCAGCTTCTTCACAAGCTCATAGGTAATACCCAGAAACTGAAGGCACGACGCAGAAGAACGGACTGTAGACAAAACTTCTACTCCTCAAGAGTTGTCAAATGCTGGAATTCGCTGCCGGCTGAGCTAATCCGAGCGACTCCTCAGGAGTCCTTTAAAAGGAAATTCGACCTATTCTTAGGGACCAAGGATAGTAAATTACTATGATTTACCATTTTATTTTACCTCTTTTTTATCGTTCATATACTTCGACACCTGCATGGAGATATTGTTGATCTACTGCTGCTAGACACAGAAGCCCGTTAAGCGAAAGCTTCTTTTATTCTGTCCACAACCTTTTTGAACCATTTGAATTGTATATGGGTCACTACATAGAGACATAGGTTATCCGTTGTAACGAGAATTAGAAGCCAGATAAACTTAGGCTTTCTTTCATTCCGTCCGTAATCATTTGAAGCTAGCGCGAATGCTTGTTTTACTCATCACATACGGTCGTGAACTATTCAATTTGTGTGTTGCCACGTGTTTGTTACTAGTATCATAGGAGAGTATTGTATTAACTATGTCTTCTCTCGTGAACAATAGAGAAGAAGCACGACCAGTCAGCACAACCACATATTACTTGGGGATAGTGAAACAAGTACGTAGCTCATACACTGATTTGTTCATTATAATAACATTATTTTTTGAGTAGGTCAATAGTTTCTAACATACAAAATGCAATTTTAGGTTATCTCAATACGGCTATTTCCCTTTTGTAGGTCTTATCGGGAGATACTATTGTAATACGTGACAGACCCATAAATGGTCCTCCTCCAGAACGAACCATTATTTTGTCCAATATATCATGTGGTCGCGTTGCTCGTAAGCCGTCGACGGGAATTCCCACTGGGACACCAGAAGATCCGTTTGCTTGGGAGGCCAGAGAGTTTGTTCGTACTCTTTTAGTTGGTAAAGAAGTTTGTTATTCTGTCGAAACAGAACAGCCATCTGGTCGCAAATATGGATGTGTGTATGTTGGTACGTTTTAAGCTAGTTTATTTATCCTTACATCAGGGAAAAATATCAGTGGGGAAAATGTTGCTTTGTCCTTGGTGGAACAAGGCTTAGCTGAAGTAAGAAAGCTAAATCCGACAGTAGCTGCCAAAAATAAAATTTACCAGCAACTAGTAACCGCTCAAGAACAGGCAAAGTCACTTGGTAAGGGTCGTTGGTCTCCCAACCTCCCTGTTACAAGAGAAATCCTTTGGTCAGTCGAAAATACTCGCAGCTTTTTTGAGAGCTACAAAAACCGACCACTTAAAGCTGTTGTCGAAAACGTTCGAGATGGTTGTTCTGTACAAGTCTTCATTCTACCTGAATCCCTTAATGAAAAGCCAAATACATTTGTATATGTTACTGTCACAATGTCAGGGATTAAATCGCCATCGATACGTTATGAGGATGGAAAAATTGTGAGTTAGCATATCATTGTTTCATGGTTTATAGGTTCCCGACGCGTGGGGTCTCGATGCGCTATTCTTTACCGAATCCAGACTACTACAGAGAGACGTTACTATACTGTTGGAATCCGTATTTAATCAAACTTTCGTCGGAAGCATCCTTCACCCAAATGGAAATATAGCTGAGTTGTTGCTGCGTCATGGTCTTGCTCACTGTATTGATTGGAATCTAAACTTAGTAAGCGTCCCAGGTGCTGCTGAAGCCTATAAAATAGCTGAAAGACTTGCGAAAGAAAAGCGACTACGCGTGTTTGAAAACTACCAGCCCACACAAACAACGGAAGTACATGCAGACAGTCTTCAAACAGTTGTTCCGGGGAAAATATTCAGTGGAATTGTGAGTGCTCGTCCAACTTTATTTGTTATTTTATTTGTTTATTTATTTGGACACATATTGGTGAAAGTGAGCACCAAATATATATGCGCCACACAGATAATTTGATTTGTGTGTATCTACTGAGAGTAATCTGAAGCTAAATGGACCTTGGTTATAGGGATAACGTTATTTTGGTTCCCTCTTGGCACCTCAGCCACCATCGTGCGATGTCATATTCTCCCCTTCATTTTAGGATATTTTTGCACATGGCGATGTAGATTACGAGTTTAAGTAAATAACGACTTAGGCTGTCAATCGTTTTTTTTAACCATGAAAATTGTGCTAATCTTAACTATCTGTGTATTCTAGTGAAAAAATTACTGCACCAGTGTCAGTTCTGTCATGTCATTTCAAACTATGGTATTGTGAACATGTTATTTCGGAGCCTCTTTCAGGTTGGACTTAATTTTAGTACCTAGGACTCACTGTTCTTAGCTGAAAAGACTTGGATCTATGTGTATTTTTTTCAGATATGTGAAGTCGGAAACGGTGATAACGTCTCTATCAAGTGTTCAGATGGTGTCCATAAATTCTTTCTATCCAGCATAAGAGCTCCACGACCACAGACCAGCAGCAAGGAAGACGATTCTTCTGTCCAACGTGGTCGTATTCGTCCGCTTTACGACATACCTTATGTGTTTGAAGCTAGAGAGGTACTTCGCCAGTTCGTCGGAAAACAAGTAAGTCAAGTTTCAATGAATCAAATGATTACCCGTACCTTGCAAAATATTCCGTAAAATAGTAGTTCATTAGGGTTACAGAAAACATACTTTATTAGTACGTAACTGTTGTATCTTTGATATACAGGTAACTGTTCAAGTTGATTACATTCAACCAAAGACATCTAATACTGTTGACGAACGTGTTTGTGCTACAGTGCGAGCTGATGATGTCAACCTTGCACTGACCTTAGTTTCAAAAGGTCTGGCCTCTGTAGTCCGTTATCGAAACGCTAATGATTCTCGTTCTTTATTTTACGGTGAACTTCTTGCGGCAGAAGAAAATGCGCAGTCTAAGGGACTCGGAATGTATAGCAAACAGGATCCCCCTATTCATCGTGTTGCCGATCTCACAGGTAATATTTTTTTGTATCATTTTGACAACTTCCGTTTGTTTTCTGTACCGTTTGGTTTCCAGCATGTACATTCCAATCATTTCGTTTAAAGGAGTAGTTTTGAGACAGCTAAAGACGAAGCGGTTATCTTTGTCAGTATGTTATCCAAACTATCTTTTTTTAGGTCTTCATACAGACAGTCTGACTCGTGATTTGTAATTTCCCTTGTGACAATCAGAAGGTTTTGTATTAACTTCATAAACACGACACTTTCAATAACTGATTTTCAGGGAGTTTCCATATTCAAAGTTATTATTTTATTGGTTGCGCAAATGACAATTTTGATTATTTTGGCTGCATACGTAATAGGACTGCTTCACCCACTGAGTGACGTCAAAATGCTTTCAGGTGCGTTTCTAATCTCAAGCGCGAAACGTTACTTCAGAACTTGTCTGTACCTATGACATTTCTAACCATATGGAGTGAAGTACTCAATTATGTAAATCACTTTATCAAAATAATGTGCTTGATTGTTGGTAAAAATAGCAGTTCACTCCAACTCCGGATATTTGCTTTATAAACATTGACCTGTTAGATGAAGCGTTTATGGTTAACCACTAACTATTTCGACGCTTAATGCTGGCTAACGTAGAAATTAGATCAGGGGGAAACGTGGTAAGGGAATCCCATTTTCAGCTAACTGAAGTCACTTAGCTAAGTGAAAACTTCCAATTTGGGAATCTGACGATAATCGTAGTCTATATAATCAGTCTATATAATTCCATAATTTCTACCACTCAGTTGCCACTACGAGAATTATATCAACCAATATACTTTTATTTCCTAGAATCAGTGTTTGTTGATTTCCGTCTGTTATTTCCTAAGATGGCATCTACTCGCGATCATCAATTTACTGTTATCTAAATTTCGTCGCATTATGTAATCTTTATTATTTATTTATTCATTTCAACACATAAATATTGGTACAAGAGGGCACCAAATATATATGCGCCACACAATATTTGTGTGTGTGGGCTGTGATACTGCCCGGGTGCCCAGACCGAAGCGGATGGTTTTTTAGGGGGCCACATCCCAGCAGTTGCTTAAACCTGCATTACACTTTGTTTTTGTAAGTAATTGATAATATTTTCGATGTAATAGGTTTATGTAGTAACAGTCCTTCCCGGTTACCTGAATCAGAATGGACAGAACAGCTTTTAGGAGTGCGACCTGTTGGTTCAAAGTCACTAAGACACTTGTGCTTTAGTACCTCTTCTCATGTTTGTTTTATGATTTCGCTTTAAATTATTATTATTTCAATAAGACGTCATGTAAAATGATGTGATCGTTTTTAAAATTTTAGGGAATGTAGCTAAATCTAGACAGTTTTTATCTTTTCTACAACGTGCTGAGCGATTGGACGGTGTGGTAGAGTTTGTATTTAGTGCAAGCAGATTCCGTATTTATATACCTCGAGAGACATGCGTCATCACACTGTTGCTTGGAGGTATTCAGTGTCCGCGCCGGGGAAGGTATGTTCATTTTATCAATGTATACATTTTTAAAAACAATAGTTGAGAAAGTGTAAACGTTAATTTAAATATCTTCTCTCCACCTCAAACGTACGCAGAGTTTAAGTACTGTCACTTGGTCAGTATAGGTCATTTAGCGAAATTGAATGTTGTTGATTAAAACCTGGATTGCCTATTAAAGGCCGTCATGTGCCGATCCTATAGAATTTTCTATCATACCCTGGCACTAGATCATAAACTGGCCACCTTTACGCTTTTTTCGACCTGTCCTAGTTTCGAGAAATGATTTACAATGTGGAAGTTGCTGGGATGACGTCCTGAACACACGTATAAGCTACCGGAGCTGTTGTCTTAGAGCAATCATTTCTAATCTATACTTTTGGGTGGGCTAATGGCTTGCCTTTAACCTAGGTCGGTTTGATATTTGGTTTCAACGTAAGCAACAGCCACTTCGCTTACATCGATTTACCTAGAATGCTGAATTTGATGGGCACTGAAATGTAAGGCAAGATTTAAGCAAACCAAATGAGTCCGAATAAGTGCTCCATCAACAGTGGGAGTTTTATACACAATCGCTATTCAGTCAACCTTTATCCCAGCTTCAGTTCCAGAGAAAGAACATTAGGTATGACAACAGCGATGACTGTTACAGGAGTTAGTACTAGTTTATTTTATTTACTTGAACGCATAAATATTGGTACAAAGGAGCACCGAATATATATGCGCCACACGGGTCACTTGATTTGTGCAAATCAAGTTAGTCCTAGCCAAAAATAGATTTCCATCTGACTAACGAGTCCCAGTCAACAACAAAAGTAACTTTCCTTTATGCTTAGTCCCTCAACTTGTGTGCTGAAGTTTCCAGTTACTATTGTTACATCTAAACATTTAACTGATGGTGGAGTTAATCGATTTTAGTTACGCTGAAATCTGTCACAATGTAGGCGGAGCCTCGTTTTCCACACTGACTTCCTACTTTTATAAGTTCTTCGCATTTAACAAAACATAAACGACAGTCGATTAGTACTACCTCTTTCCTGGCACTTAGTGCAAAACCAATGCTATCTAAATCGACTGAAAATGCTACCGGATACTAAGATAAGTTCATAGTTAACAAAATTTTCGAATCGATGTACGGTGAAAAAATTTCTGGTATTTTTAAGAAATCTGAAATACAGGTCTCAGAGATACAGCAAACGTTGATATCGATATTTACCAAAGACAACCCAATCTATCTGCTTTTAGATCTTCATATAATTTCGCTCATTTTTCATATGTGACTTCTGTAACTAATAATCGAATAAGTGTACATATCGATATACAAATGAGTGTGCTTTTGGCTACTGTCGTGTTTTGAAGGGAATAAATTTCCACTTGTGCCTGTCTTTAGCGTTCTTACTATTGTGAACAAGAGTAGGTTTTTACAACATTTGGTTCTTCAGGGTTCTGGAGCCCATGTTCACCATTCTTTTTTGGTCAAGTTTTTTTCAGTCCTCTTAGGTAGACTTTTCTTAACCACTATCCCGGTTTAAGCGCCAGACATCGACTTTCCGTCCTTTCACCTCCATAAATTACACCCACGCTAACAAAAGGAACTGAATAGAACTTTCTTGATAGTGGCTGTAGGCGGGTGACTATATGACAACATTCATGAGGGACAACAGATTATCGTTACTCCCATCTGTACCAAAGCATTCGAAGACATTACTCCTACTATTCTCTGTTTATTCATACTTTTTAACTACCCTTCACAACTCTAATGTACAGTCAAAATAATTCATTGTTATAGTAGGTCATGTAATAGTAAGTGATCGTCTACTTATTAAGTTGAGCGAATTCCTTAAGTGCTTGCTCATCATTTTTTTCCGTTTCAACACTCCTATTGTTTATCCGGTTTTCTTTTGTACAGATTTTTTTTCCTAAGATCTGGTTGTTATTAACGCTAGAAAATCTATTTGTTCTTTAAATTATTAGAGTGGGTCCAGATGGTGTCGCTTTACCCGATATGCCATTCAGTAACGAGGCCTACACGTTTGTTAAGGAATTGTGCATGCATCGTAACGTTGAAATTAAGGTAGAAACAATTGATAGAGTAGGGAATTTCGTTGGCTATCTTTTCGTGGACATTCCTGCTCTGTCTAACAATGGACCAGATATTAACAAGTCGTCAGGCAAGAAAAAGAAGAAAAAGGTTACCGAAACTACTGTTAGACAAAAAACAAATCTAACTGTCTTACTAATATCTCAAGGTTTCGGTACTGTTCATCGGGCTCCCACAACCGAACGATCACCTCACTATCACGATATGATAAAAGCAGAAGAAGATGCCAAAATCAATCGGTGTGGTCTGTGGTCATCCGATCAGTTTGTAAAGGAATGGGAAGCCGAAGTCCAAAATAATTCAGATCCCGCTGCTTTGAGCGGTGCAGAGGACGGTAGTCTTATTCCACTGACTGGTGTCTCAGAATATTTGGACGACTTATCAGAACTACATCTTAATGAAAATAGTGATTCGACAACTGTGATCAATAATGATAATACTAAGGTATGAAGCATATTCTTTGAATCTTTTTGGGATACAATATTTTCTCCCTGCATATATTTGAATATTCCAGAGAACATAAATGTGCAAATTATATATATATATATATATATATATATATATATATATATATATATATATATATATATATATATACGAACAAGAATTGAAGAGGAAGGTTGATTATGAATACAGTGGTCTTGAGTGCTGTTAGAGGTATGAGGGCGGTTATCACTTCCCGGTTACCCACATCGTAGAAGGGTTCTTCATGAGGTATCTGAGAAGGAAATTGCATTAGAGGTGGTCTTATTGACCTGAGAGCGTGACCGCAGTGCCCAAGGGACAACTGCTTGAGGTCGGTCACACACGACCTTTTTGTGAGTAATTCTCGTGTTATCCTCGTACTTGTTGAAACCTTACCGCCGGAGACGGGTATCCGGGGGGTAAGGCTAGTTGTGTATTTTAGGGCTCGACGTTTTGTTGGAAGGCAGCATCGCTGTCATGCTGGTTGTCTGAAGGAAACATCTTACTGCCGTCACTTCTGTACAGTCAGTAGTACGACTTCGCTTTCGGACCTTCAGTAACGATTGTTCCAGCCAGTATAGCTCGATTGATTCATTACGATAGGCAAGGCCGACCACCATTTCAGGGTAGCAACAACGGTATTATATCCTTATATGCAATTTTTCTTTTATATATTAACACCATTGAATTAACTACTTCTATGAACCCAGTGTTCATCTAGCTGTGCTAATGATGTATAGCAACTTGAACCGATGCATGTATGACCTGATATATATATATATATATATATATATATATATATATATATATATATATATATATATATATATATATATATCGGTGCCTAAGTATTAAAAATTCATCTGCCTCAAAATAAGATTCTTTTAAAAAATCCATTAACAAATGTTAAATAATTGTATCGTGCATGATATTATATAAATCTAAAGTGTGAAACACCACTCTTTAATCATTTTCTATAGCAGTTATCATGGAAACCTGTTCAAATAACCGGGATCTCCAGACCTGCTTCTGGTAGTCAGGGTCTTCGATTCTTCGCTCAACACTTATCAGATGCGTGCACCCTGGTCAAGATTAGTCAAATGTTGAATAGCCAATCATTTCCTTCATTCCCATCAGAATACTACCCTAAAAAAGGTAGTCTGTGTATTGCATGTTTCAGTTTAGATAATTGCTGGTACCGAGCACGTGTCATTCGTAGTTCACCCAAATCTGTTACAGTTCAGTTTATTGACTTTGGTAATGAAGAAGTAATCGATTCAGCTGAGTATTCATCACGCCTTTCTCCTCTTCCATCTGGCCCACTAATGCAACTTCCACCACAAATGAAAGAGTATCGTTTGGCATTTGTTCAACTTCCTCCCGATGCTTCCGATCGTGTGTTTGCGGAGCGTGCTTTCTGCGACCTCGTTGAAAACAAAGAAGTAGGTGAAGTGTTTGCACTGGGTTCATCTTTTGTTTTTCGTTTTATAAGACTCTCATTGGAGTACAATGCCTATTGATAACGTCTGCGTACCGTTGGATAAAATCAAAGTATCTAATTCATGACCGAATTACAGATATATACTTAGTAATTCTTAGATTATGTCTATGCTATTAATTTTGATTCGTTCAGGTCTTTAATCCCGTACACTTCTACACGTGAAGACGGAGGTTGATTATGAATACATTGGTCCTGAGTGTTGTTAGAGGTATGAGGGCGGTTATCACTTCCCGGTTGCCCACACCGTGGAAGGGTTCTTCTTGAGGTATCTGAAAAGGAAATTGCATTAGAGATGGTCTTATTGACCTGAGAGCGTGACCGCAGTGCCCAATGGACAACCGTTTGAGGTCGGTCACACACGACCTGTTTTTGGGTAATTTTAGTGTTAGCTCATTACTTATTGAGACCTTACCGCCGGAGACGGATATCCATAGGATAAAGCGAAGTGTGCATTTTTAGGGTCGACCTTTTCTAACCCAACCACTCCTGGTGGAAAGGCAGCTTCGTTGTCATGCTAGTTGTCTGAAGGAAACACCTTACTGCTGTCACACCTCTGTACAGTCATCAGTACGACTTCGCCTTCGAACCTTGGGTTTGTTGCTTTTAGTCTTACCGTTCATCAACCGACCTGTCTGACATGGTAGGACCTTGAGGAACAGCTGTTCCAGCCAGTATAGCTCGGTTGCTTCATCACGATAGGCAAGCCCGACCATCACGTCAAAGTAGCAACAACGGTCGGGCAACAATGCCAGAATGTTTGGAATGCGCTTCTCTCCTTCTAAATGCAAGCTGCTGCTTCAGGACTGGTCTGCGTCAAAACCTGAACTAGGGATAGGGAGTGAAGTAGTCAACGCGTTGACAACTTCACTTATCTTGGAAGTCTGATCAGCCATAATGAGTTGGTGTCTGACGAAATCTCAGTACGGATTCGAAAAGCTCGCTTGGCTTTTGCCAAATTACGTCACCTATGGCGAAGGCGAGATATCTGTCTATCAATAAAAGGACGAGTATACTGCGCGGCAGTCCGTTCTGTTTTAATTTACGGCAGCGAAACATGGCCATTAAGAGTAGAAGACACTCGTAAGCTACTAGTATTTGACCACATGCCTCAGAAATATTGCTGGCGTCTGCTGGGATCACCGGGTAAGTAATAGTGAGGTTAAACGCAGGGTATTAGGGAATGATGATAAATCAGTCGATGAGGTTGTGAATCTTCATCGACTGAGATGGTTGGGCCACGTGTTACGTATGTTTGAACATCGATTACCACGACGTGCAATGCTAACCGGTGTTGGGGATGGTTGGAAGAAAGTTAGTGGCGGCCAAACCAAAACGTGGCATCAGTGCTTGAAGTCACTAACTTCTGATCTGAGCCATGTTAGGAGATGCAGACTACTTGGTTGGGGTCCACGTGACTATCGTTACCAGTGGTTGGAGACTCTTGGTGACATGGCTCAGAATCGATAACAATGGTGTCGGTGTATACACTCTCTGTCTTCCCTTAAACCGTGAGATTAAAATCGTTTCATATCTTTCTTTCTACGAACTAATTCTTTCTTCCTGTACTATATCCTTATATGTAATCTTTCTTTTATATAATATCACCATTGAATTAACTACTTCTATGAACCTGGTGTCCATCTTGTTGTGGTATGGCAAGTTTGACCGATGCATATATGTGCCTGGTCCTACGGTGTAGCTGACTGACTGACTTCTACACGTAGCACGTATAGATCGAAGTGTTATCTGAACACATTTATTTTGCTCATTTATGTGCCACTTAGATACATTCCCTGTTAGCATCATCCTTTAAAGCTCATAACGGTTATCAAATCATTCAAATGAAGGCTTATTAGTTGGGACTTTGTTTTCAACTCAGTTTTGAGCACCATTCCACGTACTGTGATTTTTGAACAGTTGGTTAATATCCCTTGCACAAAGAGATTTAATCCCTAGCAAACCTGTAGTTGGTCCTTGCGTTTGTTCGCGGGATACAGATTGGATCAAGACATGTTCCGTGCAGGATCGTGTTGGGGTATGCTGATTACCTATTTCTTATCCAACAAGCGCTAATGGATACCTGGAAAAAACTCTAGAATCTCCCTATGTAAAAATTATGGATATACTAACGTTTTTCTTATTGTGATTCCTACTTCCATGCAACTTTTTTGTTTGGAATATAAATACCTTCCTGCTCAATTGTGTTCTGATATGGGTACTTATCGAGTGAATTAGCTTCCAAGAATACTAAGAAATAAGAGTAGCTGGGTCGTTATAGGAGAAATTATAACAGCGTTGTAGTAATTTAAATTTATCGACTCATGAAAATTATCATTTTTCAAAAATCCTCCCTTCTCAATGCTTTATCTGCATTTCAAGATATGTGTTTCTGAAACAGTGGTCTACTCCGTCTTCAGGTAAAATATTCCCATATTTTTCAGGAAATATAAACCAGTAGATTTTGAGTAAACTGTCATGCACCCAAGTCCGCTTGTTCGATTACTTTAGTCTTCTTTTTTTCAACAGTTGAGACTTGCTGTTCAGTACGAATCAGTACCGTGTGGAAACGAATCACTGAAACCTGTCCCAGCAGTGACACTATTGCTACCGGTTGCAGATCTTAAAACATCTGGGTCATCTGTCTGTCCAAACGACATAGACATCAGTGAGTCACTGTTGTCTAATGGTTTGGTCTGTGTTGAACCTATCCAGCCTCAGCTTCTTAAACGACTACCACGCAATCTGCTCCACAAGTATCTAGATGCGCAAGCACTAGCAAAGAAAGAACGTAAAAACATTTGGCGATATGGTGACTTTCGTGCAGATGTGGAACAGCTGTGATATACATTGCACAACAATTAGAACTAAATATGTGCCTTTAAAATACCAGCTGAATATGAACGACTACCGTCCAACAATAGCACCAACCTTATGCTCTGATTCATTTTGTCTGTTTCTTACTATATGTTTTAAGAGTACACTTGATTGTTGTGTTTGTTTTGGAATAATTCTAGGAATTTCAGGTAGCTATTCTTCCTTTTTTTCAAAATGTAAAAAGTGGGTTTACTTTAGTTTGTCAATATCTATGATATTCTTGTTGTTCATTGGACTCCCTACGTACAATGTAAAACTAATGTTATGAAAACCAGTTTTTGTTAGTAAACTACTTTAATTTCTAACTTTAGTCACTTGTATTTTCGTTTTTCTTGCCAAATGTTTTAAACTATTATATCTGTGGCAATTGTGTTAATTATACGAAATTATGCTTCTAAATATTTCTGTACTCAGTAATGTATGTTTACGGTGATAAACTGTGATTTTGTTTTGTATGGTTGCATTTAAATGATCACAATACGCTACATGCATCTTCATGAAACTTGACAGCTTATTTCCTGACTTTGTGCGACACCCTTTTTAGTGACAGTTTTATTGAGTTTGTCAATTGTAATGTTAGCAGTCGTAAACAACACAGAACGTTGTACATAAGTTACTGTCACACCACATCATATCGAGATAAAACCTCTAACCCAAGTGCCAGTGCATTAGAGTTAGTAACAGTATCTGTAGTAGTAAAAAAAGCGTTAAGCGCAAATAGTATGATTCGAAGAAAAACGAACTGGCGAAAGTAAAAACAATAACTTTAAAGCAGGAAACAAGGAATTTATCTGGTACTGATTCTGACCCATGTCGCTCAACTCTCCAATGATTGATTACGGTAATCGATTGAATACGAACTAGGCAATCTGCATCCACTAATATGGCCTACCTTAACAGTCGTGACTAGAGGAAAACTGCGAATTCGCTCTCCATCGGGGTTTATTATATATTGTGCAGAAAAACATGCTGGGAAAAAAGAACCCGAAACATACCCATCAAGAAAATTAGGGGCAAGGAAGGATGAGAAGTTGAATGAATCGTTTCTACGCGCAACGTTTGGGCTTGAATTCGTAGATTGCTAATGTTTCAGCCGTGCATAAACTATCCCCTCGATTCAATTCCTTTGACTCTGTAGATTACTTTAAAAGAAGAATCCTTTGGAGCGATGTATCCACAGTTGATTAAATGTTCCTGTATAGAACCAGTAATTGTTTTACATTCTCCATTTACAAGCCAAGCCAGATAGTGTTCTCAAATGCATTTGGAAAGTGATCGCTTTATACAGCTTAAATAACATGATTTCGCCGAATTCTCTTTTACTTATTGAATGACACTATGGAATATTCTTTGTTTATATAATTGTGTTCTACCTACAATGGGAATTTTTCAGTAATTCAGAATTGTAAGAAACCATGAATCGGTCAGAATCAAGTTATAAGATGGATACCATAAATTATCCTTCACTAAAACAATTTGATTTTATCCTTTAAAACGAATATCTAACTCCGATTTATTCAATTCTTCCCTTCTGAGTATTTGAAATAAATGAAAATTATAAAATTACATATACCGTATGGATCTCTTCCTGTATATATTGCTATAATCTCGCTAACTACACCTAAAGAGTAAACATGTTCTGGGCATAACTTAAAAAGTCAGTTAGAGTAAATGTGATTGGCAATTTCAAAATAGAAAGACTTTTTAAGTATGCAAAAAAGTCCTTCACTCTTTCGAGGTTATACTACTCAATAGTTCAAAGATTTTCAGAAAATTTAATATCTATGTTGTAATTTGACATGAAGGTGTGTCTGAATTAGTAAGCACAGTTCTATTAAATGGGTCACTCCTATTAAGAATACAAATGGAATGAATTACTCAGAAGTTACGTCATTAAAACTACGGAAATATGGTCGTTCATAAAGAGTCGGGAGCGTACCTTGTCATAGACTCCAGGGAAAATAAAAAGATCGGATTTAAAGCCGAACGAATAGTTTGTGTGTATCGGGAAAAAGCACTTTTACTTGTGAATGGGTGTTGCAATGCACAGATAATGTGCCATGACGTCAGTCAGTTTTGTTTAGGGGGCTTATCGGTCGTATGTATTGTAAACATCTAAATCAAAGGTCATTTACAATAAGTAAATTCAAACATTTGACGCCTTAGAACTCAATATTAGTTAACATTTCACCAATTACGTTCGCTGCTCAAGGAAAAGCCTATTCGACGAAATCATATACAACCTTAAGTATTAACTAATTTGCGATTTGATAGCCAATAATAAGCAATTCCGATTTTCCGGATGCCTATCTAGACTCCAAGGCACCTTTTCCAAGGCCACCAAGAGCTCAAATGCTATAAATTTATAGTTGCATTTATTCTCTATTGTAATTTAAATTAGAGTTAGGTGTCATTTGATCTCATTCCCTTCGCCTCGAATGTAGTCTTATTTTGTTAATTTCCTCTCTTTGTACGCTTATATAACTTGTCCTTATCTAGAACGATACTCAACTACGTACATTCCCATTTTAACGTTTACTGGATCATTCGTATCTCATTACATCCATTGTCTCAAATCTAGTACTTACTTCCACAGACAGTAGTCGTTAGACTACAAACATATATTCAGTGGAATTTCTACCATTTTTATTTTCTCACAGCTGAAGTGATCATATACCATACATGTACATGTCTCAGCATAATCCATGAAATTCGCATAATTATGTTTTAATAAGAGACATTTAGAAGCAACCAGTCAGCATAAGTCATCGAAAACCAAGTGATCATGCTTACAAACCTACTTCACAAATAAATGACTGAATTATAGTTTGACAAATATTCTATTTTAAAGTCATCGAAATCATTGTTACGTAAGAATTAAATATTTTGTCTAAATGACTACAGCATGTTAAAACAGATTATAATGAAGAATTGAAAATCAACAAAATGATCAAAAACTAATATAAACAACAAATTATATACAGATACTAATGAGAATGTAACAAGTTAGAATAGAAAGACAGTTGAAAAAACAAACTATTTGAAGAAAGTTATTCGACAACTCAACCTGTACTGTTCGTCTAAATAATTTAGTGAACGATACAGCGCAGCGTTATGCATACATATCTCCAAATTTGTATTAACTAAGTTGCCGACGTCTAGCTTTTTGCTTGTCAAAACGTGCTTCCATCTCTTCAAGAATACGTGGTGTATATCTTACTACAAGTTTCACAGTACCTATAATGGAAAGATTATTACAATTTGTTTGATATGATTTAAACTGGAAAAACAATGTATAACAAGTAATTATGAATATACTAAAACTACGCATAATGTGAATTAGAACAAGCATTGTGAGAACGTGATAATAAGGATATTGACATGAAACTCTGTAATAATGAAATATCACATGTATTGATAGAGAAAAAACACCTTAAATTCTACGGTACATCACCTTGTGCTAATTTCAAAAGTTCAACAGCTCTTTCATGATGTTCACTCTCCACAGAAATCCCATTTACTGATAGTAATTGATCACCACGTTTTAAACCACCATGACGATCTGCAACACCACCAGGAATAATTCGACTTATGTAAATAGGTGAATTTTGTTCTTTACCACCCATAACATTGAAACCTAGACCTTCATTAGTTTTTGGTAGTTCTATGACACGTGGATGAGCATGTCCTTCACTTGCAGCAAAAGCTGCGACAGTAGCTTTGGCTGTTGCACTTGCTTTCACCTAATAAGAGTTTAAATAAAATAAAGAATAAAAGTCGGTCAGTTACTACTTAGAACCTAGTATGTATGTAAATCGGTTCACATTGATATATCTCATTAGCACACAAGATGAAATTGTAAGGTCTTATTACAAAATAGTAGATGTAGTAATAGTATCACTGATAATACGAAAGATTAGGCATCGAAGATATCATTCAAGAGAATACAAATTAATGTAATAAAGAACTGAGGAATTCAGAAAATAATAATTTGGGCAGATAGAAAATAGATGCGCCTGCGCTACTACAAACCCTGTCATCCAAAGTCTCGAACCACTGATTACGATAATCAGGCGGACATCAACTAGGTAGTCTACACCGACTAATACGGCTGTCTGGTTACCAATGACTTTACAGAGCGATATCACGTCTTGGCTGGACCCCCTACGTCTATTTATTCAAGCACATAAACGTTGGTACAAGAAGACACCAAACATATATGCGCCACAAATCACTTGATTGGTGTGAGGGCTGAGACACTATCTGGCAGACCAAACAGGAGCAGGTGGTCTTCTCAGGAGACCACCTTTGACGTAAAGGTCTAATCCATAAGGCAGTGGGGCAACGTAGGGAGGTTCAGCCCCACTGGTAGCCGGTGACCAACAATAGGCTTACACGCCATTTGTTGTCTCAGGATTCTAGGGTCTACGAGCACCATTGGTTTGGAATCAGGGTTTTCCAACATCAATGAGTGGACCCTCCGTATCCACCAACCCGGTTAAGGCGTCGGACATTCGCTTTTCGCCCTCTCAGTATGGGGCCGGTCCAACGACGAGGGAATAAAGTGTAAAAAGTCTCTCTTGTGAAGACAAACTAACACAACTCAATTTATTTCCGTGATCTTGCTGTAGAATACGGAGTAATATAATATTGGCTTATCCCATAATGAACGATGACTCTGACATTATTGTCTTATCTTTTCCTTCCGTCTAGGACTGATCATTTGAAAGGACATTCGAAGAAAGTTTAAAAACCGAGATCACATCATCTTACGTCTGAAGTTTCGTTCCTCGCACCGAGTAGTGAATTACTGGAATTCTCTATCGGAACACGTAATATCAGCACCTCCTGCTGATGCATTCAAAACGAGATTGGACCTCTACAGTGTTACAAACTGCAAGGATTAATGTAGGTGGTATACCTCCCACCCTTATCACTGAAGACTAAATAAATTCCTAGAAGCAATTACTTCAAGGGTAGTAATATGTAAAAGATTGCATATAATTGTATGATACAAGGAGAAGGAACTAGTCTGTAGAAAAGTATAAAGTAATTTTAATCTCATGTTTTAAGGGTACAGTGAGTGTATATACCTAAGCCATTGTGGTGGGTTTCGAGCTATTTTACCTTGTGATTTCAAACTCATTCCATAATCTCCGTGAACTTGAGGCTTGGGCCTTGAGAACATGTAATAGCACTTTTCTAGTAGGCTTTTAAAAGCATTTATCCTTTATTGAAAAAATCAAGTGGAGACGTTGACAACAATTTCCGCTAGTAGTTTACATGAATGGATTACTCAGTAGCATAAACAACGTTGAGGCTTAGGAGATTATGTTTGTGTAAAACCCATAATACAACAAAACAATACTAACTTCTTCTGACCCATTAATATCAACAGTTGTATATATATGCTCATAAACTTCACGAATCATGTCGCAAAAGTCTGACTGCAGTATGCGCTGTAGGGCTGCCAACTTTGATGGTTGTATTTCAGGGCATCTCTGAAGTATTTCCAATAACTCCAACACTCTATTAATATCTAAAATGTGAATATAATCAATTCACAATATACCTCTCTGCAAACTTAATGACTCCGCCATTTGCTAGTGTCCAATATCCTCTTAGTGCACAAGCATAAAAACCCAATGCTTTTTTAGACGCGCTTTATATGTTACAATATGTTTTCAGGTTTTCCAGATATTCTAGACACGTAACTGCACTAAATGTAGTGGATAACTAGTTGAAAGTATGGTTAGGTGTATGTTCAATTATTTGTGTAACGATAAAATAAAGGCCATATTCCTATCTATTTTCGACACTTAATATGTAATCAAATTTATATTCAATATCAACTGTTCCTCTGTATCGATTGAAAAATTCTTGGTTACACTAATACATTGTCACTGTTACTGAAGAAAATAAACTCTATCTTTGTAGTTTGTTCTTCTGATTTATTGGCTCACAGCATATGATCAAAGATTATCACAGTTTTACAGCATCGTTTTAGGAACTATAAGCTACAGTGAGGTGCTGAATAATACTATCGGACTTAATCTTTCCCATCACACAATTGGTACCGCCACATGCAGATGAACCTTCGTTAATCAGGTGAACTTATTCGTGGTTTTTTTCTTTGGTGGGGCTTGCGAGTAACCTTTATTTCATAAAATTGTCGCCATTTTGATATTTATTATTCCATTTTATTTTAAATATCATCTGTTACAGTTTTGCTTTACTCGTAAACAGACACTTCGGTTTTAAGTATTGATTTTGTTTATTATACCATTATTAACTATGTTCATTTTCATTTCTTGAGTAAGCTAATTTACTGAAATCGATCACTGATCTGGTGAGCACTTGCGTTTCTTTCGAAAGTGCAATTTTCAGTTTACTTCCTCTTCTTAATGTTTGCTTTTTGCATTTTTACCACGTATTCATTCGAATCCGACGATATTAACCAAGGTAGCGATTCAACGGGGTTATACGCTCTGAACCACATAAATGTGCTGCCATTCAATGGGTTAAACACACGTGTATGATTTTCACAGATGGATGTCGAGTTTCATTTTCATAACGCATGTTCACATGCTCCGAAATACTCTTTCGTGTTTGGAATCCTGACGACCGAAGTAGTGTCTGAGGTACCGGGTTCTACAGATAATGTCTCAGCTTCGGAAGACTATAATCAGTTAAACCAAGCCATTATTCACCGAACCTCTATGCTATATGAATGTGAGTTAAGTGACAAGTCACCATCTCAATTATTCAGCTAGATGAAGCAGTTGATTGGACCTTATGAAGTCGATAATGCTTCACTGTAGAAAAATTGGGTACAACGCTTTCCAACGGTAGTAAGGCAAATTTTCTGTGCTTCCAGCCGACCTTTAGATTTGGAGAGTCTAGCCAGTATGGCTGATACGTGTTACGGTACCTTACGTACAGATTATTTCACGTACTCCGAATAGCATGTAAATCCTCACCATAGAGTCCTTAATAGCTAAATTAAACGACCTACGTGCACATCATGCACGCAAGATTGCCAGTCTTGTGGACAAGCTAAATGCATTACAATTATTCATCTTTAATCTCATACCTCGAGGGTCCCAATCTAGTTACGTCATTTTTCTTGTCAAGAAATGTGTTGACCAGACAGTAGCTTTACTCTCGTTACTGGTTGTACCCCTAGAAGACTAGCAATACCCAAACGAACGTTCAGCGCCGCCTCTAGTATATACAAGAACGATGTTATTCTTCTGTGATATTATGACACATCTAAACCACTGTGACTAACCAACTTTGATGTCGTACTTTATTTTATGAACTATTGTTTCCCCATGGCTGTCATGTAACAGATGGTTTCGGTACAATAATCGGCGTTTCGAATACTTGGCGATATAAAACTTGTCCGGCTCAACTTATGGTATGACGACACTATCATTCGCGCGAATCATAAGTTTACGCAGTCAAGCTAATCTTCCTCAAACTGAAAACGACATTGTCGTCCATAACCAACACTGACAGTGTTTTTCACTGGTATTATTGACATGAATCCAGAGTGACATTCTTAGTTTCTTATGTTCTTTTTGATAATTTTTGGTTCAATTACTGAACTCATATACAGCACTCACCGTTTATTATCCTGCAGAGACAACTTTATTGTGTCACTATCACTCTCGATCTGTACGTACATCATTGGACCTAATTGACGTCAAAGTGAAGGGCCACTAGAGGCCTAGTAAGTGCCAAGTTAATTGACCGAAATGTTTTTAGATAATAAAAGAGTTGAAGCTGTCTTAAAGAAGACCGTGGTTTTAATAATTTGTAGATAGGTGAATGACTTATATTTTTTTGTATTTGTTACTCATATGTGTGACTGTGGGACTGATTTTACAACTATTCACATGATTACTCCTGATAATGTTTGAGATTGTTCTAAGGTCGTTACTCATAATCTGAGTGATGTCTGATGCGTTGACCGAGAAGAGGAAGTTGATTTCATACTTTCGACTCACTATTGATTGGTGACAACTAGTGAATTATGCCTTACATCCTATGAGATTATTTAATTTGAATAAACCTTGCAGTTACTGTGTAGCTACTGTGATGTTATCTATTTTAAAGTGACGTTTCTTCGGACGTCATCAGTAATTATAACATTTAACTGATATAAATAATTCGTCTGACGTGTTAGTTTTGTATGTTTTCAGGGGTGCGAACGATTCAGGACTCAAACTGATGATTCGATAATATATATATGGCACCCACGATGCTATTGCTCTGGAAAGGGTGTTCTAATCTGATTGTCTCACCATTATGTCATGTTGAGTGCATGAAGTCAGTGTGACTAGCAGAACATCCTTAGTTTTTTTTTAAGAATTCATCATCACATGAATGCCCTGTAATGTTATTCAAACTTGTATCAAAGTAATTTTAATACCATATAATGACCCAAACACTGGAATTGAGGAAAGCATTTTCAAATTAATAATCAATGAGATAGTTTAAAATAACAGAATTGTCTAAGACAATTGATGTACAGCAAATGGATGGACTATCGGTTGAAGTATTAACTTGTTTTCAGACTTATTCAAATGAACTGCTGAAAGCACTGTTTCCACGTTATCGTCTACGAATAAATCCTGGGTGTATATCACATAGTCATCTCCAGGTTTATCTTTTCAGTCACAGAAATGGAGAAAGTACGCCTGAATGTTTTATTCTGAGTCCGGAATTAAGGAAGAACATCGTGAGTTCTTGAAAAGTACAAAAGTGTTTCTACCTAATAAGGCTATGGTTCTTTGCGCCGCAGGTCAACTTAGAAAAGAGTATGCGTTGATCAGTAATGAGTTTGAATACCATGTAATTAAGTGTGAAATGACTAATAACGTCTGTATCGATGGTAGTTGCTACATACCTATCTGACAAGTGTACGCTTGCTCCTGATCTTGCCGTATTTTGTGTTGCTGCTGAACTTCGATGTGAAATATTGTTTGTTGCAGGTAGTTTGTGTGGTGCTTGCTCTACTGCGGATTTAGATGGCTTTATCGTTGTTTATTTCCCAGTACTCAAAAACGCTTTACTCTGTCGATGCTAACAGCGTCAAGCTTTTGATGTTTTGATATATCTTGATAGTTTATATGAGGGATTGAGAAGGTATTGATATTTAATCACGATGTTGTATCCGCTGCATCGGAAAAGTTTTTCTGGGGTACCGTATGGGGCGGTGATGCGCACGAACTATCGGAGGGGCGTATGATACCCAACTCTATCATGTTATTGAATTCGTTCTTTGTGAGAGCCAGACGAGAGGCATCAAGGTGTCTTGGACGTGCAAAAACTGGTGGACCCTCTATCTTTTTGTGATGTACAACCCTAGGTGTTGGTTTGTCACGTTTGAAACTCAGTCGTAGTAAGTCTCGGAACTGATTAAGTAAATTGATGTACTTTTGATTCTCGTAATGAAGTTTGATTAATAAATCTGTGGACGTCTCACCAGATATAATTCCTCTAATGTCACTGCTCTGATCGGCAAGGATACGTTTCCGGTTTCTAACGTCCACTAGTATTCTATGGAATTGCAGAAAGTCAACCTCTGCCTCGGTGTCGACTAAGAACTGTGTTCCGGTCCTTTTGTCTGTGACATATAACAAACGACTGTCTTGTGAGTTGTGACCGGCGACCTCAGTCGTCACTAATCGTCGGCCTGGATGTTCATTTGCCGTGTGCTTGCAAATTTACAGTGGGAGTACACTATTTGGCTTGTTTACCATACATCATATGGTACCAACAAATGTTATGTCGAGTGGTCCTTGGACTACGACGTCTACGTCTTCTGAACCTTCCTCTACACTTGCAGTGTGAGGTACTCAAAAATTGGAGTTGAGCTATTTGTTTAGTGAAGATGTCGACTGTTTGTCGTAACTCGGGGAGCTCGTCAGTTGAGTTTGTTTTTGTGTGTGATCCCGAGTGAGTACCAGTCCGCTAGCCTCTCAAAATCGACATATTCGTCTCCAATTGCTAGTATCTAGTGGATGTTTTGTGGAAGACGTATGGGTCATCTTTTATATAATAGACATTTATCTATTATACGATCTCTCAGTACATTTGTCATGTGACGTTTCAATTGGAACGGTGTGCTGTCACCTAGCCCTACGTTAGCTAAAAGTTGATCAATTGTCTGCTAGTTGGTGATAGATGTAACACGAATGACCTCTCTTTTTAAGCAATTGTATGGTGAATGAGGATCCATTTTAAAAATGACGTTAGGCACTTATTCATTAACGTCGTCCGGCAGCATAAATAAATTTCATGCTCTGACTTGTGATTCTGTTTATAACAAAAAAGCTTCCTAAGCATGAAAACCAGAGTTCAGCCTTTCGAGGATTAATAATAGGTAAAGGTACAGAGATGGCACCTACGGAAATAGACTAAGATGAAAGGCTTGGTGAAGTACCAAGTGACATGATACGAAGAAATAGTAACAATAGCAATAATAATAAGCTGAGGGTTATTATTATTAATATTATCATTCACAAACATCCTATGGGTACATAAGTGTTGTGAAGAAATCATTTCGAGTTTCTTAAAAAATGCACTAATACACAAGTTTCAATAATGTTGGCATTATATTTGCCACATTTGAAGAAAGAGAGCAATAATAATAGAATAATAATAATAATAAATCACGTTCTGTGTAATTTTGAGAAGAATATTAAATTAAGTTTAAAGAAGGAAAGAAAGAAAATAAAGGAATAGAA